TCCCCTTCTTCCCCTTCTTCCCCTTCTTCCCCTTCTTCCCCTTCTTCTCCTTCTCCTCCCTCTTCTTCTTCTCCTTATTCTCCTTCTTCTCCTTCTTCTTCTTCTTCTTCCAGTTTCTCTATGTTCCTCTTCCATTTCCTCTTGCTTGTTCTCTTTCTTTTCATCTTTTCCTCTTATTCGTCTTATTTTCTTCTTTCTCTTCCTCTTCCTCTCTGCCTCTTCCCCTTTCTTTTCCTCTGGCTTTTTGTCTTTCTCTTGCTTCTGTACGACCCCCTCTCCGCGCCATGCGCCCGTGACGCATCGACCGGGCGACAGCTTACAACGTGACAAGGGCTGCAACAGAGACCAAAACTGGGACTGTCATACCCAAGACAAACTAGCAGTCACACAGCCACAGCCACACACCGCGCATGCGACGGTCTCCATTGTTTCTCTTTCTTGGCCGGTGCCCAGCTGTCAGGCGTAAGTCTTTAAATCCGGGTAAGATAAACTCTGGTAAACTCTTGGTAAACATATGTAAACCCATGCATATTTGGTGCATCCTGCTGCATCCTCATATCTCCCAAGATCTTTCCGGTTTTTTCAGCTGTGCGGGACACGGTTTTCCCAAACCGGTGCCTTCGCCACGCAGTCTGCGATGTGCAGCACCGGGCGGTCCGGAAACCGCGCACGCATGGGGCCTCATTGAGGTGCGGAGTCGTGAAGCCCGACCTTCGACCAGTAGACCATCGATATAAGACCTGAAGAACAATGTTGAGCAGATGTTTTCCAAGTCTATATAATCTCGTGCGTCATTGGTGTTTGTTCAAGTCGTGTTGTATGTGTTGATACATCGACACATTTGGATGGTGGTTCAAGTCTCAGTACAGAGTCGTAAAGGGATCTCTGGGCTTGAGATCTTGTCAGTGACCTGCCACTGGTCTGGCTACTGCCAGTGATTGTGCATCTTCAATTCCTGTGCATGTATAGATACCTCCGTTGTGACATATTCCTGAACAAAGGTCGCAGTGTTGAGGTTCGAAGAGTATGGGTCAATGAAGAAAGGATTTCTAGTCGCTCGTCCCAAATTTGGGTGATCAAATTTCTCCCATCCACAAGAGTCTAGACCCACTTTGATACCATGTATATAGCCCATACTGTACTTTGTGTGGCCCAGGCCCTCAAAGAAACCACAGAGACCTATCAATAACGTCTTTGTAACAAGAGTGCTATCATTCGCAGGAGCACACAAACGCAAACAATGGTGTGGGCAGCCAGAGACATTTCTCCGGTCTGAAAACGAATTGCAATGAACAAACCAAGAGAGTTGACCTCCAGGTGGCTATAGCAAATATGAGCGGTGTTGGAGGCGATAATGATAAAGTCCACCATCACCCGATCTAGCTTCCATGCAGCACGCAGAAGATACTCCTACAGGTGCATGGAACAAAGTGTGAGTGTCCCTCTTCTGCTCTCACTGACAACATGGATCAATGGATCACCCAGCCAACTACCAATGCAATTTATTGGGTGGGGGAAATAATGTGAAATGAACATTATCAGTATCAGTGATGTCAATGTGCCAACCTACCACGGTTTGAGGGGTTGGATTTTAACTCACAGTCACATGATTGGAGTGTCAATCCACTTGTGCTAGAAATAATGTTGCTTCATTGAACACTTGCCACAGTCCGAACAATCCCACACGATAGTCAGTGCATCGCAAGTTGGAGTCACAACGTGATGAGTTCTGTTCTTGGAGAACCCGGTAGATTGCCATCCAGTAGATGGGGATAACATACTAGTGGATTCAGAGTAGATGGCACAATCCCCAAAACGTGGTTTATATGGACCCCCGTCTAAGATGACTCTGGGGGATTGTTTCATCTACTCTGAAACCACTGTACATGCAGCAACAGCTGTAGCTCAAAAACTGTTTGGACACCACTGCCCCCACAAGCTCAACCGATTCCAAGCCTTCACAGCCATGATCATGTTACAGCGATCTGTGATAGCCAAGCCTCTGAAGGAACTCTCTACGATCCATATGTGTGCTCTACAACCAATGATAAGAATTGATAACGGTTCTCATCCCAGAACAAACCATATTGGTACCATGTCTCACTACCATGCTGCAAATCTGGGTCTGGATCGGCACAAAGCTCGGTCGACACTGCTCCTGAACGCCCTCCGTGTCTTCTTCCTTCAAGAGCCTGACATATTCATCACCTGAGATGTCACATTCTCGATCGAGTCTGCGAGGAGGCTGTCTTCGCTGAAATTCAATCCAAAAACATCCAAACATCCATTGATGGCAGGAGAAAGTCATCAAGTCTTGTGGTAATATCATATTAATAATATCCTTTCAAAGTCTGAGCTTCCTTTATTTTACACACAGCATCACATAGCTGTCGTAACTTACCTTCTTCCCAAAAAAAGGCGTCCTCACATAGCTGTCATAGCTGTCCTCCGATTGGCTTCGTCCAAGCCACAGTCCACCGAAACAATGACCATCTCTGAGTTGTGAGGCATGATCTTGCCAGGTAGTAGCCGAGCGACGCGCTCGTTGATGCCTCAAACGCCCGGAAACCCTGAAAGTCCCCCGAAGCGTTCATATGGATGGATGATGATGGATGTCAACAGGCCAATACGATGGATAGGGATGGCTAAAATAGAAGAAACCTGCGAAAACACCGTGAAGGCAACCAGGCAACCCAGGTACACAAACAGGCAGCTGTTTGATATTCTTCCGCAACACCCTTTCAACACCCTGGCTGTCAGTCAACCTAGCTTGCAAGGTATTACTCCGAATAGCTGTAGTTCGCATGCAGCTTAACCTGTTTGGTGTCTCCTTTCACGTCGTACGATAGCTGTCATCAGCAGGCGCGAGCGAGGAACATGTTAAGGTCTCTTCAAACTTTGCAAGTAAGAGGCATCATTCGATTTCCAAGAAAAAAGAGTGCAAATGAACAGCGGCACATCAGTGCACCATTCACTTTGACAAGCTGCCTCGGTAGTAGTCGATGCCGGAGACATAGCTAATCTGTCAGGCTCGGGCACTGGTGCTGTCAGACCCGTAAGGAAAATAGCAAGATAGCATATCCAACACAGCGAAGAGTTCTGGAAAACATCTATACAGAAGTGGCGCAAGCTCACCAGAAGTCATCCTAAACACATGAGCGTCATCACGAGAGGTGCATATCTCGTTGAAAAGAACATGCTAGGTGATCACCTGAACATGTTCCTTGCTAAACCTCGCATCAAGGAGACCAAAAGAGACCGGTCACTGATAACCTGGAAACCGTGCAGCCAGTCTTCCTTTCCATTGATAGGTGTACATAAGCATGGCTCCCTTGGAGTCTTTTTCCTCTTGGAAGCGGGCGAATGGGCATGGCATGGCCATCAACCCCCCCGTTAGTAACCCGCGACGCAAAGGAAGAGAAGTTTGCATCAAGAGTTTGTTGAACCATCGTCACACACCGCAGACGCACTCATGTGGCCCGGACCCCGGTGATCATCCCGATGGTCTTCATGAAGGTGGGCTCGGTGGCCTGGAGAGAAGAACCAAGTAGCCAAGTTGTCTGGACACCAGTGTTGAAAACATGTATACCTGGCATATACTGTATCATATACAGCATAGCCCTTTGAATGACTTGGCCTTGATAATTTAGGTTTGACAACTCTCAGCATAGAATTTGATGCAAATGTGGTGGCAGTATCGTTAGATTGAGAGGGCTACAGTAGTGTTTCACCAAGGGTGTAGGATTTCTTTCGATTTCTTTGGCTGATGGCTGATGTTCGTGCAAGAACTTCAGGCGGGGAGAAAGGGAAACTGGGAAACTCGTGTACCAACTGATCAATTATTGAATCCAACAAGAACAGCTACGTTGAATTTGTACCTTCTCCTGTTTACTGCACGAGTAACAAGTGATGGTCAAAGTGTCTTGCTCTCCAGGAGACACAGGATTCTTATATACATCAACTCTGGACAAGCTTGACAGTTTCCAGGTTGTGGTTCATGGAATGTGGGGATTTGTCTGTGAGTTCTGGGTTATTAAGTGGTGAATCAGCTTCAAAAAATGATCAAACATGTATTGGCAATCGTTTTTATCCACTAGGGAGCTGTATGGTTGACTCACCTTCATTGGGATCCGATCTACCCGATATATTATACAAACTAAATCCTCCAAGCCTTCCCAGTCAATGGTCCGCGTTGCGCAATGCCTGGACCAACCCGCTGAGCCCGATCGCACCGATCGCCGCTGCGCGCACTGCGCGTGCTGCTATGCACGCGGCACCCGCACGGCAGACGCGCGATGGACGCCGCCAGAGCATGCACCCGCCCCCAAGCGGAAGAAGATGGGGACAAAATCCAAGATCTGAAAGTGTTGCTGGTGAGTGGTGTGCTTTGAGTTCGGGACCAAAAGGCATGCAGATTCAACAAATTCAAAAATCAAAAAATAGGACCCCTTAAGCCATTTGCTCCATGTGTTCAAGGTTTGTCTTATCGTCCATAGGTCCTGATAGGTGAGTTATAGAACATCTGTTTGATGGCTTTGAGCTGGACGTTTGGGTCTTAATTCCTGAATCTATTCACACTGTGTCAGACTTAGAGAGTAGCTCCAAAATCCCGTGTGTTGCTTTCTCGCCGTCCGTCAGACTTTGGTCAACTGAGACCGTTGAAGAACAAGTCTCCTGAGCCTGCAGCCCAAAAGCTGAAGGACGGACGCTGTTCCTGTTCCTGGAAGAAAAGTCTTCAAAATCCAAAGTCCGAGTGCCCAGGTTCAGTGTCTTGTCTCAGCGGATGGTGACCAAAGAGGGAAGAACACAGAAGAATATTGGAGGAAGAACATGGAGAGGGTGTGGAGTGTGGAGGCCTTTTTCTTAAATCCGGTCTTCATTGGGCCACCTTTGCTCTCACATCGGAGAGAAGCCGCTGTGACATGCGAATTTGGCACCGCCATCTTTGGCATGTGAACATCGGAATCACACGAGCATCAGAAATGTCTAGCTTCTTGTTACTACTAGTAAGGCACCTGTTACTAGTAGCGTGGCACTTGTTACTACTAGCTTCTCCAGCATCAGCTATGTTTCAAAAGATCGATGCAAGCAGCGCATTTATCTTGTTACTACTAACAAGTGCCACGCTAGTAGTAACAAGTGCCTTACTAGTAGTAACAAAAAGCTATTAGAATTAATTTTAAATTGTTCATTTTCAATATTCCATCCGTGCGGGGAACCGAACATCTAACACGCAATGCTGGACGAGGAATGAATCCAAGTCTGATGCCATCTCCAGCACTTGACTTAGCAAGTGATCGCTGGAAGGGTCATCCAGCCCGACTCTGGAAGCAAAGCTAGACCAATGATTCTCGCAAATATGTTCAATGCGGTCTGATTGATTCTTTTGGTGGCTAGTTACAGGAGCACTCGACCATTCATTAGTTGCATAAAATGGTGTTAATTCTTTCTGTCTTTCTTCTACTAGATTCACAAGTATGAGCAGTTGCCCGTTTGTGTCGCATCTCTATCAACAAATTATATGGATTCATAAACAATCAACTCTTTGCTCGGTTGGTCTTGTTGCTTTCTACTCTCTCTCTCTCTACTTTGGGTCATGTGGCCCGAGACAACTGACCAAAAGCTTCAATCGCGTGAACCTATTGATGACACCTGCTTTGAGCAACAAATTGATTTGGCACTCCAGGTAGGAAAGTAAAACGTAAGAGCCCTAAGAATGATAAGATGTTCTTTGAAAATGTCTGCGCAAAAATGTCCAAACACATTGCAATGGTAGCTCTAGCACACAAAGGCTTCTGAGGACACAAAGTAAAGAGGCTGTGTAAAGCCTGTTGATCGGAAGTGAACGGCCTGCGGTTGGCGCTTAACACCAAAACACAGTACAAAAGCTGGTGTACCCGTACCCAAATGATAGGCTTCGGTACAGTGACCATGCATCCACGCAAACAAGGTACAGAAGTATAGGATCGAACCCCTAAAGTCCGAAGAGACCGTGTTCGGAACCCCAAGTATTTTGCCAGGGAACCTGGTCTCACTCTCGCAATGGTGCCACATTCCTGTCTCTCTAGTCTGCCCGGACACATTCAAATAACATATTGTGCCAACTCTGAGTGCAAACACCCCTGCTTGCATGAGGTCCCTTTCACATCATATAATCTGGCAGATCCAGTGAGTCTCTTCCAGAGCCACGGCACCTCCTACACTGCTAGGGTTCCATTGACCCCTTCGGGGCCAGCTCCACCAAATACTCAGGATATACCTGCGAGGGCACTCACAATTGTGCAAGCACTATGCCAGTAACCATTAAAAAAATCCGGCTAATCTTTATATAAAACTAAAGACTAAAGACCTGCTTACATCATTTGACAACCCACTCCTTGCGACCCCATGCGAATCACAACACATCCTCAGTTGAGCGCAAGGCTCGGATCCTGCCTGCATTTCACTTAGCACAATGAACTCCCGTGGTCCTTTGGACGAGGGGTTCGCCAGCACCGCGTGCTTTCCCACCTGCAAATGTCAGCGGCGAATCCGAGCTAAAAACCTTTGAATAGCCAGCATGCGCGGTCCAGCAAAAATACAGGAATCATTCTGGACGCTTCTTTTGAGGGCAGGCTAGGGCCGCGTCCCAAAACGTTTTGGCTGTTTGGTGCTTCCGTTGCCGAGGCCTTTAGGTTGCACCAACACAGACAGCTCAACTCACACGTCCCATCGACCTCGCGCGCTCCAACCTGCTTGGCTTGCGCAGTGGCATTGCTATCGGTCATTTGCTCCGTGTAGTGCATCTGTCCGCACAGCACACGACAAAGAAGCCTTAGAGGCGGTGTTTAGGCAAGAATGCTTCCAGTGCTTGGTGTTCTAGAACGACTGTGTTTCCCCCTCAGATGTCAGTATATAATGTCCAACTTGAGTTTCAAAACTCTGCAAAAATGCACACAGCGGGGTCTGGGTGAACTCAGCATTCCGAAGATCATCAAGAAGAATAAAGTGGAAGAGTAAAGGCCGTGCATCAATCTCTTCAGAGCCGGCTAGGAACTAGGAATGGTGCACTCATCAAAAAGGGTTGGTTTGACCTGATCGGTGCAGAACTCCAGAGTGCCTAAAGTTCCAAAGCCCAGATGCCTACGATTTCCCAGAGGCCCCTTCCAGTCATTCAGCATTATCCAACGAGCATACGGACGACCAAACCCAAGTTTTTTCTGGAAGGTCTCACTACTCCAAGAAACACGTCCCTCACCGAGTGGCTTTTGCACACGTCCCTCTCAACTACTCGGCGTCGTTTCTCTCAACTCATCGAGTGGCACAAACTGAGAGGATCGTCGGCCATCAGAGCCAAGCTCCAGTGGTGCCTCAAACATCCAACGGGGAGAGGGACCTTTTCCGGGAATTCGGAGTGGAGGTTCAGAGCTGGACTTTCTTTGTGAAGCTAAGCGATTGAAATGGGTCCAAGCACCATCTTAAGACAAATAAGTGCTCAGCCGGAAATCCCTCCGTGCCTTGCCTATCAGAATATTGTCCCTCCATCTTGTGTTTCAGCCTTTAAAAGGGTTGGTCTGGGACAAAACCCTTCCCATCCAACATCTGTGATCCAAGGATCATAGCTCAGACTTTTGCTCAGATCCTCTGCAAAGTACAAGCCGCTTCCAAAGCGAAAGCCGTGTTTGGCATCCTGCAAGTCAAGGTGATGAAGATCCAACGTTGGGTTTCTAGTTCTTTGGGATGGCAACACGCTGTAATACTGAGTACATGTTGGCATGTGTTTGGTCCAACAAACATGTGCTCACTTCAAAAAGAACAGTATGACCACGATCCTATTGCCCCTGGAATTTCCGACTTTCGAGGACGGACTCGACTTCTTTCCCGACCAAACGAGTTCCTCTACGCGCTGTCGATTTCGACAGGATTAAGTCTCGGGTAGCTGCTTGAAGCTCCAAGCTGGCATACTCCTTAAAGTGAGCGTAGCTTTCACACTAGAGCATTACCAGCCAGTCCGGACCCTTTCAACATCTTTCAATCTTTCGGCAGTGAACTCCAGTCAGCTCCGTGGAGCTTTGAAGGCATGATGAACTTCTGGGCCACCCCGTCATTGTCTTCATCTTCAGTCTGCAGGACTCTCCATCAATCGTCCACCCCGTCCCGGGCATTCGCGTCCTGAGGAATTCTAAAGTCTGCTCTGACCTTGGCAAGGACGGCTAACTACATTGAGGGCTGGATAGTGCTGGAGTACTGAGCCAATATGGGCCAATGAGGTGTTTGCTTGGAGAACACTTCCTCCAGTAAGTTCTTGCCAGATTCCTTTTACCAGGTTTGGTGCTCCCAACCGTCTTCTTGACTCCCAACCCAAGCAATAGATAGAGGGCCGTGACCCGAAAGTGCTGAGAGCGAAGCTGCTAAGTCATGATGTTCTTGGACTCTACCAATCTCGACAAACAACTTCCAGTGCCTGAGGATCTAAATCGGTCCAAACTTTTTCTTCGGACCATTTTCAGTTCTCTTGAACCTGCCAGAGAAGCCAAAGACGTTTTTTTCACAAGTCTCAACATATGACATTATTACGTCATAGATTGGTATTGCCTTCACCAATATCTATCCTTTCCATTCAGTCGGCCTTTCATTCGCACAACCCAGTAGATGCAAATCCTGCGTTCCGTCCGCCAGGCGGCAATCGCCTCCGCCGATTCTCTGGAGGTCCCATGCCAGAGTAGGTGCTCCTGGCTGTGGACAGACCGACGCCAAACATCACAGGTTGACATCTCAGCCGTGTGGTTTATGGATTAGCTTATGGAATTTGTTGAAGTAGCTTCTCCTCGTGAACAATACAACAAGATCGGATGGGGTCTGATATACTAACCTTGGCAGTGGAGTGCTTGGGATCTAATGATGTGCGGGTGCCATCACAATAAGCACTCGAGATCAGAACATCTTTGGATGAAGGCTTGAAGGCCCTGAGATTGGGTTCGATCGAAAAGTTTCACTCTCGATCGCAGGGGTATTCTGGCGGCCTCAAACAACTATCCCTCAGCCCTCAAGGCAGCATTGATCAAAACCTGTTAATTACTCTGAACACATTCAACGTCGATCATATTGGTTGTATTTCAGATTATTTCAGCAAGACCCATTGGATCCCTCTTGCATTGAAGGGGAGGTTAGTACAGCTCCCAGAACTGCCACCGGAGAAATGCCCCTGTTGTCAGCCCCAGTGACTGGACGTTTGAGTCTTGTGTGACCTCTTGCGCGTCTGGATGCTCCCTTTTGGGGGGGTCACGTCCTGCCCGGGTCAGAATCTTTGCCCGTCCAGTTGCAGAGTCCTCTTGGAAAGCAAAAAGGAAATAGATTCTAATAGCTTCTTGTTACTACTAGTAACTAGTATGGCCAGGAGCCCCTAGTAGCTTCTTGCTCCCAGTAGTAAGGCACTTGTGGCTTCTTGCTACTACTAGTAAGGCACTTGTTATTACTAGTAAGGCACCTGCTACTACTAGCTTCTTAGTAAGGCACTTGTTACTAGAAGCGATGCACTTGTTACTAGTAGAAAAAAAGGACTGCCATGTGTCCTTGCCATATTGGTGTGCCCTGCTGACAAATACTCCGGGATGCCAAATCCTTTCCGTCTTCGTGCCCGACCACCCAGTGCAGGTACACATCGTTAACCCTGACAAAGTATGTAAAAGTATTTTAAAACATCTTAAAACGATAGGTTGCAACATGTTGGGTCAAAGGTGGGGTTAGCCGGTTAGCCCAACTTCACAACATTATCATCGTTTTTCATAGAACATTATCATCCTCTTGACATCATAATCAAAGGGTTCACAACATTATCATCGTCTCCACAACATTGCCATCGACTTCACAACATTGTCGTTGGCATTCATGTTCATCCAATGAAGTCTTCGTCCAATGGGGGCAATTTTGAGATTCTTCAGCTAAGCATGCTGCCAGAGTTTATGAACTCATCGTTTTGGAGTTCATGAACTCCAAACAATAATCTCACCAGCCCAAAACGCAAAATTCACTGTAAAACGCATGATTGTTAAGCCGATGACATGTTGCAACCGTCTGACCGATGCCTCGTTTTTTCACGGGAGAGTCGGAACCCGAAAGCTGGACCCGAAAGTCGACTCCTGAATGTCTCAGCTTCTTGCTACTAGTAGCGATGCCCTTGTTCTAGTAGCGATGCACTTGTTACTAGTAGATTCTCCTGAATGACATCCTCCAGACCGTCCACGGAGATTGTGGTCTGCACACCTCGCCAAATTCGCGTTCACCAAGAGCTCAGATTATAGAAGACTGGTGAACGTAACCGGTCTCTTAGGCAAGAACTCCCATAGCTGTTCTTGGCAATGTGTCTGATTCCGAAGACTTACAACCTGCAGCTAGAACCTTGATCATAGTCAATTTTTGGATCCTCTGTGCAGTCACTGCATTCAGCACACCAGTATGGGGGAAGATCAAATAGGGTAGCCAGCAGACCCTATCAGATTATCAGTGGAGGGTGGACGATGGTTCAACATGAGCACATCGGATCTGGGAACTGCCCTGTTGCGCGGGTTATGTTTGCCAATGAAGACAGCGATTCGCTCCAGCCTTGTCCATAAAGGTTTTTCAGGTAGGTGTAGGTCAGGATCTCCTCAGAACCCAAGGCAAGGTCCACTCAGAGTCTTGCGGGCAAAATGGCTGGACACACACACAAACACACCGAACTGCCAGCGATAAGATAAGGTTATGTTTTTCCGTGAGCATCTGAGCATAGTTTTCGTGGGATTGTTCCTTCCCCCTAAAGTACCTGGGAAGAAGATCACCCGTCCGTTCGTCCTTTTGCAGCCCAGGGGCTCCCCGGTCCATCTTCCCTTCCAAGAGCTGTGCAGAGGCAAAGGCTGGCAACCCGGAGGCCGCCAGCTCCTCCTTCAGCCTGGTGCGCAAGTCTTGGGCATCGGTGTGTGGGTGAATTACATCCTCTCTTCCAATCACAGTGAATTCAGTGGACTGACCGAGAAAAATTCCTGAAGCAACGATGTCAAAGACAAGTGTTTGAAGCCACTGCGGCTTCCGCGAAACTTCAGCCACTTCTTCCTTTTGCAGCGTCTACTGCGAACATCAACACCTAATTACAACATACTCACTCCAAGAATTCCTTAACCGAAGTGGCTCATCAAGCCATCACATCCATCACTTCTCAAGAGATTAGTCCCAAGCGACCAATCTATGTGAAAACCGACAGACACCGCGCGCGGGCTTCCCCCCCCAAAAGCCGCGAATCGCGATTCGCCCAACCTCAGCTTGAAGCGCACGTAGCGGTTCCACATGTTGGACACTTCGATCCGCCGAGCGGCGAGGACCTGCGCTTGACGCGCTTAACGCGCGTGACGTGCGCAGCGGACGGAGCCAGGAGCTGGAGGACGTCTGGCACTTGGTATGGCGACGGAGATCAGGGGTGAATCTAAAGGATAATTACCAGGAGGTCAATCCTTTTGGACACAGGTTCAAGCCAAAAAGCAAATCGATGACACGGCTTGGCCTTCTTCCCAGCACAGTGGCCTGAAGAAGTTGAGTGGCTGACGATCTGAACACACAACCATTGCGGGGCGTGGTTCTTCACTCAAATCTTGGAGCCTCTGAACACTCCACCTCCCTCATAGGCAGAGCTGAGGCAGCGCCACACCCTCTGGAATGCAAATGTTCTACAGAAAAGGCGGCCAGGGTCAAGCCAATTGGTCAATTAGTCAATTCTCTTCTGCATCAGCCTGCATTCGAAGTTCCTCCACCCTTCGCTCAGCTCGTGGCAAGCATTCGCCAGGTCTTCCAGCAAACGCCGCGAGGTCGCACGGACGAGGTACTGCGCCTGCGCGGGGAGCAATGGGCAGAAGGGCATGGTGAAGAGAGGGTTTCAGCGCAAAGAGTATTTCACGGCCCTCCAAATGCTTGTTTCAATCAATCCGTTGCAACATGCTGCAACTGTGCATGCTTGGGTCGGCGGTTAGAACTATTTGCCCGCTGCCGTCCGGGACCCAGGTGATGTATCAACCATTCCAATAGGCGGTGGGGGGTCATCATGTGGGATAGTGAAGGCTGAAGATCACCGAAGATCTTTAGACTTGGAGCATCCATCTGAAAAAGACTTGAAGCAATTGGAGGCCATCCCTTCCTTCCCAGGTGCTGAAGTTGGACCACCAAAGTGACTTCATCTGGGCCGAGTGACTTCATCCGCAGGGAAAGAAGTCGCCAGATCTGCGTCTAAGCTGTGGTTGTTGCCGTTTTGGCGTTTTGGCGCCCTAGTTCCACTCCGTTTCCCGGAGGTCACAGGACATGGACCGTAGGTCCCCTCACCTCGAAGCGGTCGATGGTGGGATTCACATGACAGTGCTGCCAGTAGACCGGGAGCTCTGCATGGAGCTTTGACAAGCGAAAGCAGAAGCTCTCCAAAGCCTCCGCCTGTGGGTCGTCGCAGTGGTTTCGGTGCTCCGGGTCAAAACGGAGTGCGGATCTTTTTGTGGAAGAGCAGGAACACCCAGGGTATCCCCAGAAGTCGAACTGAAAAACACCCCATTTGGCCGCACACTTTCCATGAAGAAGCCTCCTATCATTCCTTGCCTCAAATGAAATGGGTGTCCTTTTCCAACGCAGAATTATCTGAGAGACATGCTGTTGAAAACTGACGGCCCGGAGGGCCCTGGTAGGTTTCACAAAGAGGACTTCATCAGTGACTTGGCCAGAAAACCCGTGCTTTACCTGGGTTTCGATGTAGAAATGATCTTCTAGGTCCACGGTCCCCTGCTCAAACAGTCTTGATCCTAAGCCGTTGGAGGTTCAACAAACACAATGGATGTCCCTAGACAAGTTCTACACCGTCTGACAACAGGGCCGAAGCGATCTTGAAGATCTTGCCCCAGCTTCCCCAAGTGGCACTCCGATCCAACCAGACCCCGATCCGAGCCGACTCAGCAGACCTTCCGATCCACGGCCCCCGCCCCGCCCGAGGCTGGCGGGAGTACAGGATGACGTACTCCGGATAGACCTGGCCCACACAGTCACGCTGACGGAATGCTGCCAGCCCCATTGGATCTCGCGACCAGCAGGGTACTGGACCGAAAAAAAGCTGGAAGAAACGACAGTGACCTGCCTCCATTCATCTCTCCCAATCCGACAAGAAGTTCTGTTTGGCTTTCCGATGTTTTGCATGATTCGATGTCTACATGGCGCCACGTCTGTCCTTGGGGCCCAAAAGTCCACCTCGCCTGGTCGGGGTTGTAAACCACGAACTCTCTGAAGGTGTTGGCCTTCTTGGTCCTGCCACGATCGAAAGCACCCGAACTCCAAACCAGTTTCCAAACCAGCCTTCGTAGAGGAAGTCCGAATTGTCTTCCATGACATACCCAGAAAACCTGGAAACACTGGAAAGGGAACGATCTCTTCCTCCAGGATCTCAGATCCGCTGGTTCGATTCAGAGCATCAAAACCCCGGATCAAACGGGCGCACGGCTCCTGTCGCCCACCGTGCTGTCGAACTCACCCGATTGGACCTTGCGACCTCCGCCCCGCTGCACCGGTCGGATCGCGTCGGCTCTCGGGTGACGTGTCACCCGAAAGATCAGAAAGCTTGGTGGAGGTTGGTGGGAGGGGTCCACAAGCATCTGTAGTCCAAATTCCTTTGTGGCGGGAAACAAAAAGAAATGTGCCCCGTGATGTTCCGTGTGTCCGTGGATCTTGTCCATGATTCCCTCACACAAATTGGTCTGTGAACAAGCACCACTTGTAGCCTGTCAAACCAAAAATGGTTGGACGCAAGGAGAACAATCTCCAACACTGCGTCACCTACTGAGTCGGATGGCAAGGTTCTTCTATTGGGTACTTCCCATTGCACGGTTGGTTTGCTCTCCCATGACGGGTGTGACACTCGATGCACTTTACAAAGATTAGGGCCAACCCGGCGCATTTGCTTTTGTGGGCGCCCGGTACCCCGGTCCGTTTCAGACATAAAGGATCTACCAATAAAATTCATTTGAACATCAGTGAAAGGGTCAGATTGCATGCCAGGAGTCAAAGTGTTCAAATGTTGTTTGGACCAATGACCCAGCTCACCCATTGGTCTCGCAATCCCCAGCACAACCTTGTGCAGTCGCGCCTGCTTCCTCGTACCGCTCGGTCGTGTACAAGTACTTCCCCATGCACACCTGTGACCCCAGACACTGAAAGGGGTACTTGTAGTGCCTTTTCCGCCGCGCCGATTACTTCATCATGTCACCTCTGACCACTGCTCGGTGGTTCTTGTACAAGAAGGGTTTACTATGGAAACGCACTCGAAAGGTCTCGAATGGTGTCTAGGTCCGTAGTTTCCAATCAACCTGACACACTCATAAATCCGCTTACCTGAATCTTGTGCACTTCACTCTGGGACTTACAGAAACAAGTGCTGGGGATCATGAAGGATGGTAGTTATATAATTTGTATGCATCTCCCACATCCTATGAATGATCTCACATGCAACAAAAATTAATATACTATAATACAAATATAATGTTCATGTACTACAACATATAACATATTGGTAATTGTATATTATTGTACAGTAATCAGTTATAGTTATATACATAAACAAACTCGATGGGATCGTGCGGCCATGGGGCACGGCAAAGAAGCAGTGCGAAAACGCCTTCATAATAGCCTCAGCAGTTGTGTTGAAGTGGAATCTGAGACCCAACCAGTCCTCTTTGCCGGGCAACCATTATTAATACACAAAGGATTGTCTATTAATATGAGTATATATCACCTACATCAAAAAAGCATTCAAGAGATATGTTGACTTCTTTTTTGGAGCAACCGCGTAGAACTTAGATTGTCCCATCCACTCAGAGCGACCAGAAAACCGCTGTGACGCGCAGAGCGACGTGATCGGGGCCTAAAGGCGGAGGGTTCATGGCCGGTGAACACACGATAAATCCTATGGCCGGTGAACACACCAGTTTGCATGGAGACGGTCGTGATGGTACAGGCCTGCAGGTTCATGCCTTATGCTATCTATTGCTGTGTGATCCTACCAGTCGAAAGATCGATCTCTGTGATCCTTCGGGTCTGCATCATCAAACTACAGTGCGCGGCCAAACTAGTTTGCGTCATCAAACCGAGAACTGTTCTTGCTGTGACTTGTCCTCAGCGATTCTACCCGTTTGCATGATCAATGACCAGCCTGATGATGTGATCCTACCAGTTTGCATGAGTATCTCTTGCCCCACGGGTTTGTGCAATCAGTCAATGTGGCCCCACCAATCTGTCTATCCGTCGATGGGATCCGTCGTGCTTTGGGATCCGTCGCAGCTTTGCACGACCTGTCTTGGCGATTCCGCCCGCCCATCCCGTCACACATGGTGGCCGAAGTACCATGAGGCTCATCCCTGGCGTACTCATCAGCTTTGGTGCCTTGGGCGGTGCGGTGGCCGGATAAGAGAGGATGAAAGGCTGATCTGTGGCCCAAACTGACAAGGGAAGATAAACCACATCCTCGTGCATATTGGTGAGAAGTACATGCCCATGTTACAGAAACCATCTAAAACAATAGTTTGACACCACCTCCGTGGAGGGATGGAATGGCTAACTAATATGTGGCTGCTTCAGAGCTACACTTGGTCGTTCCCCGACAAAAATCAGAATAATGTGTGATGTCAATTGTATGTGTAAAGTATGTGTATGTGTATATATATATATTATTATGTGATATTGTGTTGTTGCTGTTGTTGTTGTCGTCGTGGTTGTTGGTGTTGTTGTTGTCGTCGTCGTCATCGTCAGTTGTGAACTAAGGCTGTCCATGTCGTGGCATTTCCTCAATGTCAACTTGGAACCACGGTTGATTGATCAAGTCAAAGTGATCTCTATCTCAGTCACCCTTCTTCAACCCTCCAGCCGCCACCTTCCCCGCTACAAGGACTGATACACTAGGACACTGGGACCAATGATGAAGGGCCTTAAGCAAGGAAAAGGTCACGAGGTAGAAAAAGGGCTCGCCACATTCCAACCAGATCCCATAGCCATCCATAGTCCAAAGCATTCAACAGATCATCTGCTTGCAACCAGTGGCAATTCTCTGCTAAATAGCAGCCTTTGCCGTACATGGTGCCAGCGTTCGATCCTGCCAAATCGATCCGGAAGTCCTGCAAACAGGTGGGCATGCTGCAACTTGAATGGGACTCTTTTTATGTAGGACTCTCCTTCAGCTTAGAGAAGCACCAGCTTCAAAAATGTTTGTAAGATTCTTTTCTTGAATGAAGAAACTATCTTGGTGTTCAGATCAGGACTCCAGGAAAATCCCACCACAAGACACTTCCGCCTCTCGTGTTACAAAAGACTTCAGGAGTTGAAATTCCTCGTGCGCAATGGACAGCGCAGCTCTGATATGAGTTCCATGCCACAGATAGAACTCGTTTGCCTCGGTCGAGCATTGGATGCCATGAATGGACTCGTTTGGGGGGCCATAGAAATGCCACACGTCAAGGTTCCAACACCCACCAATGCCCTTAATAGTTACTATTTGCACACATTGAAATGGTCAAGTAGATGCGTTAATCACTCAAAAATCATTGGGCTAATTGTGAGGCAGATCTACTTGACTCTAGGCCCTAGGCTGTGCCATCGACTCGCTGGTGGATACAAAATGCAAAAATGATCATCGTTGACCTCCAAGTGGCTTGTGCATCGACCGGCGTGAAGACGCCGGGATGTTCGCCCACCAGTCCTGCGATTTCACCATGGTCCGGTTCAAGGATCACGAAAACGATGGTCCGGTTCATCAAAAATTGGCTGTGGTTTATGATGTTGACTTTTAAAGCAACCTGTCGAGCAGCTTCAACATGCTGCGTCGACAAGTAACACCCAAGTTGCCCAAAGCTCTGAAAATGTGACACGGTGCTTGCAGGATTACAAATCAAGGCTTTAAATAGTAATGTCCGATCTGACTTGGCCATGCGTTTACATGGCGGATGTCATTCCAAATGTTCGTGAGATATGAGACTGCAAGGGAAAAGGGACATCGTAGGACATCCCCTTCAAAAAATCCCTATACAAGCCCTTCCACATGATCCCTCCAGTGGGGATCGCTGGTCGGCCGCTCACCTTCGCGAGAGGCCGAAACAGGGATAGGGGGCTAGGCCAAAAAAAAACCTGCCAAGCGAGGAGCAAGAACGAGAACAGGCACGAGCAAAAACACGTGGCGCCGGTGGAAGTAAAGAACAAACTGCCGGGGGAAGCATGATAGGGTTGCCATCCCACCAACAAGCACTGCACAGGAAAGAGAAAAAAAAGGAGGCGGCGGCGGCACAGCAAGGGCAGCAAATGAGAGTGCCCGAGGACACCGCCAAGCGCCAACTATACAAGGCTACACAAGAAGGATGGGTCAAGCCGTGCATCTCGGTAGGGCTTCAAGACTGCAGGACCACAGCCGCCGCGGAGGCAGCATGGGAAGGGGCGTCCGCCAAAGCAGCGTCAGCACGGCGCTGCAAGGCAGCCCTTCCTCGGAAGCTGCGGATCAACACCGAAGTTTCTTGGAGCATCTCAGAAAACAGTGCCGCAGGCTCGACTTGTTCGCGGGCGGCAACCGCACGGGCAATGGTCTGCAAAACCTTTGCCGCTGCAGGGTCCCAAGCACCTGTCGTCTCAGCCACCAGGGGGACAAAAGCAAGGCCTTGCTGCTGGCAGCACAAAGCGGTGTCCAAGTGAGCTATTTTCACAGCTGAGTAGGCTGCAGCTGCAGCTCCTCCGTGCCGCCCTGCGTCTGCTAAGCTAGCCTGCCGCTGAAAGCCGGTAACGGCGAAGTCAAATGCAGTAGGCTTGCCAGAGAGGCAAGGGGCAAAGATGTCTGCAGGGCGCCGACGAGCAACGCCAGTGTCTTCAGGGCGCCGTGGGAGAAGTAGGCCAGGTCGCTCCTTCTCTGGCTGCAGGCCAGCCCGGTCCGCCCAAGTGCACACCAAGTCCCGTAGAGCGTGGTGACGTTGGTTCCGCTCGCTGCCGGCTATGCAGACCCCGGCGTGCAAGGAGAAGGTGTCGAGCACACCATCGCACCGAGGGCACCATCCGTCGGCGGAAGCTTCAGCCACCCCAAGCCGGTGTCTCAGTTCAGCGGTGAAGACGGCAGGCTCCATGCGCTTCCGCCCGGCCGGTACAGCGGCCAAGAAGGCGCGGCCCCCCGGCTCAGCTTCAGACAAAAGCAAAGCTTTGCGGGCAGGGCAGCTGGTTTCCAACTGTGACTGCCATGCCTGCAGGTCAGCTTGAGCAACCAGAGCCCGTTGCCGGGATGCCAATGCCACATCTATCATCCAAACAGTCCCAGCAGTCCATTAAACGCTACTCCAACCACGGACATCACCGGCCCCTGCTCCTTTGGTTCACTCCCATCCAAATCACTGGAGCTCTTCGGAGACAAATCACTCTCCAAAGAAGAGCCATCGCAGAAATCGTGGGGGGTCTGCAAATTCTTCCAGATTTTAGGGGCCGATGTTCAGCTCATGACGAAATAAGACAGGACTTATGATAATCCCCCATCTCCCTTCTCTATCAACCATGGCCCACAGGGCCACTGAGTCAACACCTTTTGCTCCCGATGACACAAGAATTGCTTGCACGACAAGTGATGTAAATCCCCAAATAGTTTGCGCGTAACTATAGGTCCACAGAATTGTCGATTAGATTTTGTATATAATTGTTTATATAACATATTCTAACCTATCTGACCTATCTGACACATCAACTCTCCTTCCAATCCTTCCACTTCAGGAGGATCCCGGAGGCGCAGGTCCTGCAGTCTCCACTGGGGGCTCCGGAATGGCCTCTGCATGCCGCTCACGCAGCTTGTCACGCTTGGCAGTGTAGCGACGCCACATCCTGCAGCTGCTGGAGAGGTTTCGGCCGTCAGAATCATGGGTTTCCTGTTGTGTTCTGTTCGACACACAATGATCAAAGTCATCGCCGTTGCAAATGTGCTTGAAAGGATATCTTATGGATGTCTATGAATCTGTTGTTCGGCCACGCGCTTTTTTTTTTCGCGTGCAGATCACCAAACAGGTCGTGCCCAGATCGTCAGGTCGCGCCAGCTGGAACTGGAACTGGTCCACCGATGACAGTGCTTCGTCCACGGAATCCAAACAGCCCGTCCTGGAATCTTCCACCCGAATGACCCGGCGGATCACATAGCTGGCTGGCAAACCTGGCAAAGCGGGTTTTCCGCGCCGAAGAAGAGGTCAAACATTGGAAGCAGGAAGTTAAGCTGCCTTTCTAGATCTTTTTAGTTACTAGTAACAATGTTCAATGTTCGCTACTAGTAACAAGTGCATCGCTAGTAACAAGTGCCTTACTAGTAGTAACAAGAAGCTAGTAGAAACAATGTTCGCTACTAGTAACTACATGCAGATCCTCAAGTCTCTGATGTCGATCCACTGCAGGAAAATGCTCAGAGACGGGCGCTATGAAAATGTCTGCTGTCCTCCATATCCCACTCTCAAAACAACAAAAACAGTAATCATTAATCTTCAAAAATACGTGCTTTTGAACAACTTTGGCACCCTCGGACCGTTCTGTCTTTCATTACAAGTCGGACCATCCGGTCCCTCATCCCCAATCTTCGCCAGTGCGGCCTGGGTCGCCCTCCGGTTGAACGCAGGCACATCCACCAGGGGTCTTGACGCAGGTGCCATTGGGGCATGGCCTAGAAAGAGGTGGGCCAGGGTGGACAAAAGTAGGCATAGGCATAGGCGTAGGTAGGTGTGATTAGGTGTGAAATAGTGTGGCTTCTTCGTTCCAACAACCGCGGGATCTTGCAATCTTGCCAATTGAACCAACTTCTCTTTGTAATAATCTGCTGTTGCCAAGAGGTAGGTATTTGGAGGCTTGACAGCATGAAGGTACACTTAGAGACTGATGGCCTATACCACTGGATCAGCATAGCACTTGAAAGGGCTTTGCCTTTGCTCTTAGCAAGTCTTTGAGGGTGCTGTAGCAGTCAGAGCAATAATCACTGAGGCGTACAGCGGAAACCAAATTCAATTACTCGGCTGGTTCTCACACTTGAACCCAAAACAGTTCTAAAAAGTACATTAATAAAACAAGACCTGACCAGGGCGAACTTCGTATCTTGAACGTCTGCAAAGGCCCGGACAAAAGCCTCTCGTGGTACCACGAAAAAGACTGTGCTGTGTGAGGCCGCGATTTTACCACCTCTTTGGGGCAGCATCTTCGCTCAGTCTCTCATGAACTGCAGGATGTAATCAACGACTCAGGGCTCTCCGCACCATCCACCTCCGCGCCATCCAGCCCACCAGCCCTCGCCTGTCTTGTGTGGTCCGCGCTTTGTAGGTCTCCCCAAGCAGTTGCTCGAAGATCTTGTGTTTCTCCTCAGTGACATATAACATGGCGTTGAAGTCGGTGCTCTCCGAGCTGTGTCCTCGGGTGTGCCAGGATCAAGATGTTCCGTCTGTGGGCGTCCCAGGACAGTGCCGGGTGGTAGGCAACCTGCCACAGATGGACCTTTGGGTCTCTCTGGGACTACAGTTTCGTGTGTTTCAGCTACAGATCCTAAGTGAAGGGCCCGACAGATCCTACAGTGCGACGCTTCTTCCGGAGGTGAGAGCCCTCAAATGCTCTGCGCCAGGCCCGTCCTGCGGGTTCATCTAGCACGGCAGGGGTGCATCTTACTAGGGCTTGAGTGATGACAATTGGCCTGTATTCCCAACCTTTTGTTCTCCCCTTTAATTAGAAAGACCAGTGGATGAACACTCACGGAGATCCCTGCAAATTGGTGATATATCGTTGTAGAATCATCGTACACTGTGATTCTTTGCCGGTTAAGCACAACTTGCGAGCACTATACAGTAGCTCTATACTTACTATCTGTTCAGCCCAAAAACCTACTTCCAATCAAAACAACCTTCAGCAACCTCCACACCCAACATCCAATGTGCCACAAATCCGCAGGCCATCACCAATCACATCCAATCACCCCCTTCGTCCCCAAACCACTCTCTGCACTCAGGTGCCCCAGTACGTGGGGATCGTCTTGCGAAAGGCCTCAGACATCGCTTCGCCCTCCTCGTTCTGCGCGGAGATCGTCTTTGGTGCCTGCATCCAGCCCCTTCGTAGGAAAGCCAGCCCAGAGCGGTGGGTCCCTAGGCCTACGGTCTTGGATTGTGAGCTTCGACTTCGTGTTTCCATGTGTTTCCTATCGGGGCGGGAGCTCCCTACGGTCTTCCTCCAAAGCAGTGTGGTTGAAAGCTCCACCCAGCCTGACCTACTGCAGGTGAGTCAACCAGCGGTTCCATGATTAGCTCCAGAGTCCCATCCATGGAATGTTCAGCCACCGGCCAAGGCCCTGGTGGTGCCCCCCGTGCGCGCCTTGCTGGGAGAACTAGCGCCCACAGTGGCTGGATCTGGCTTCCTCGGCACGGTGGAACCCTGCCCAACCTGGTCATGCGCAACTCTAGGCCTAACGCAATATTCCCTACATTTCTCTGCCAAAGGAAAATCATTCAAGAGTACCCTGTGAAACATCAACAATCCCACCATGCCACGTGACATCCCTGCGCGTCTGCCATGCGGCGTCACTCGCGTCTCTTTCGAAGAGGTCAGCGGTGCCGTGCCCGTCGCCGTGCGCCGTTGTCGGCGCCGCCACCAACCTTGGGAACGCGCGAGAGAGTTCGGTGGGAGGAGTCAACTCTGGAGACATTCCCAGAAAGTCTGCAGGTTCCTGGCCCTACCAGGTCCCCCCCTTTTTGGATGTGTCAATGTCGTATGGAAATACTTCGATGGCACTACTGACTAGGTTGGCGCTGACCAAAGATGATTCGAACTGAATGGTGATGTCAGCTCTTTCATGTGAAATATGCACCTGATGTACATGTCACATGTTGGTATTGATTTAACGGTTGTGTTGCTCTGAAGTCCGTTCATCAAAACAGACCGAGCGGCAGTACGCACCAATAAGGCCTGATGCAGACTCACCGACTGAGACGTATCACATGGGCTGGTCTCTACTTGGAGATTGCTGCTACCACTCCAACCAGGTCTGGGAGAGAAAGCACATCCAGGCATCATGTACGGAGCTTGTGAGAAAGCTGGTGAAGGTGTGTGAATTGATCTACTGTCCAAGCAAACCCTTACAACAATTGTTTTGCAGGGGTTGTACTTTTCCCAAAATTGGGTCTTGCAATCCAAACACTATCTCAAGGTGACACGGAAACAAACAACCCTCATACTAATACATCATCACAAATAACAGTCCACCTACAACACAGGATTCTTGCTTTCTATCCCAACCAAACCTGCACGCACCTTTACTGACTCGTCCATTGAGCACTGTCTAGGCATCCTTTTTCCCGTTTTTGCCTGGGGTATCGTTTAATATTGTGGATGTCCGCCTGTTTCTTCAAAACTTATGTGATTCCCTGACCATAGCCTCGATATTGAATACCTGTATTCCTCAATGCCGTGTGGTTTTGATGACTTTGATGAATATGCTCATAATGTCACAACGGAAGTCTATAACCCTTGGCCCACTCTATCTATGATTTTATGTAGCGACCTGATGAACAACCAAGCGACTCATGTTCGCAGGCATTGGTTGCGACGCAAAGCATTCCAACTCTCAGCTGTTCACCACGCTTCCTTCTACGCTCCCAACTGCCTAGCAAAACGATCACTCCCAGGATGATCAGCACAATTCGTAGCGCCAGCATCGAATCCCCGGAGGTCGCGAGTTTTCCTTGGTCGAGGACCCGGCGCGAGAAGAGAAAGGCTTTGGCGATTGTGGACCAAGCACGGACACGAATCACATCAGAAGAAAGGTACCAGCTTCCAGCTTCCCACCAAAAAATAAGGCCCTGGTTGGTTGTCTTCTTTTCAGATGATGGGATGATCGGACCAAAACCGACAACTCTTGATTGAAAGAACATGAATGAACAAAATCGAAAGGTCTTACCGCACCCCTTCGACATGGTTGATTGTTCAGTCTCAAACTATAGCGTCCGAAATTGTTGCCTTGAGGAAGCATTCAGCTCTCGTTCTGCACCCCTTTTCAGGAGGCATTGAAGAGTATATAGTTACACAATATACATATATAGATATATAGATATATGGTTTCTGGAGTTCCCTTGAGACTGAGACCGCCAACGACGCGTCCACATGAGTGATGAAAGGGGACTGCTGGGTCAGGCGATTGAAACCAATGGAAAGCAACCATGGCACAGGAAGCAGCTTGGAATATCAAACGGGATTGGAAATAGAAACAGGGACTATTGTGCCCGAGCCGTGCATTTGTTCCAACCCCCTCCTCATTCACTTGCAGCTTTAACATATGTCTGATTTGTTTTCCGTTCATGTTCGTGTCCATACCAGACTCCTACCTACTTAGGAGGGTGTTGGTAACGTTGTTTCCACATCAGATCGACACGCCATCTGCCAGCGGCAGTCGCCTCCACCCGTCGAGGCGCTCCAGATCAGTGCACCGCAGCCAGCAGAGACGCGTGTGGAGCAGAGTGACACCGCAATGAAATCGCAGCCTCAGGTTGTAGATGACATCTGAAGAAAGAACCTGTGTATGTGTTGGGGAAGACGGAACAAAATCGGAACAAAACCTGAGGATGTGTGTTTCTGCATTGGGTTAAAAGGGCGCATCAGCTGCCAAGTCGATGGTTTTGGTAGGTATGAGTGCAATGTGCTTGAAGTTACCCCAATTGCACCGATCAGGCAGATGAACTGGCTAGTGGCTGAATGTTGGTATCTCCAAAAAATGTCACCCACTCCAACATTTTTTGACTCCAGGGACGAGCTGAGTACAGATTGTAGATGTGAGGACATTTTGTGATCATTCAAAAAACAAAAGGCCAGTCAATTGCAGCACAAAGGCCAGTCAGTTGCAGCTACACCCCTCGAACGGAGTGTCCTCTCCGAACCACGGATCGTTCAGTCTGGAGGTATCCGTTGTTCACCACCCAATACCAGGCCATGCACCATGGTTTCCAAAAAAGACTCGTCGCTAGGTGACTAACAGGGCAATGCTCACTAACCACTCGCAGCCTGAATAGCAACCCGAATAGCAACATTCAGCTGCCATTGCAGATACCCCTGCCATCGCAGCTTGGCCCAACTCAGTTTGTTATCTGATCGACCTGACGTTCTAAATAGTGCCTGGGCTACAACACATGACCAAGTCTCTAGCAACGACTCTGCGCTAACTGTCTGCCATTGCAGTTGGCCCAACTAGCTGTTTCCTTTTTTGGTTGGTTGGTTGGTTGGAGGCTTCGAGGCAACCAACACTCTCCTCGTAACCACCTCAGCAGAAAAGTCACTTCCTTTCGCTCGATTAGTTTAGAGTCCTTGAAGAAGTTGGCTCACTTAAACAACTGGCCTGGCCTCACTGGCCTGCTTGCTTCTGTGGTGCGCTTGTTGTTCTCGGAACTGTCCCCGCAACTCCACGGCGCAGAAAAGCAGACAAGTGAAAGCGGAAAAGGCCCTTCAAGTGCTGCACGGAAGAGGGCAACACAAGCCTCACCTGAGGAGCCTTCAACCTGCATGCACGCATAAACCTTCGCAGCGGCCAGAATATCAGGCTATCGCAGGGTCTCTCAGAAAGCCTGGTGCAGCTTGGCTGTTGGCACTGCTTGGGAATCTCGATCATGGCGGTATACGCTGCTTCATACGACCTGAAATGGTTCCAGCGTAGTTGGGCCTTGTTATATAAGTAGGCTAGCTAGTGGCCTGCATAGTCGAAGCTCTGTTTCCTCTGTGGAAGTGCTCATAAATGCCCTGATCAAAAACACACTATCCGTACATCTGTCCACCCACTGCCCCGGGCCCTCAGTCCTCAACACTTGTTCTGCTCTCCACGCCCCACGCACCCCACTGCAAACAAAACAACTGAAGCCATAGAATAAGCAACGATGCTGCAACCCTGGATATAACGATATTACATACTCAATATGTTAATATTTGGGTTTACGAGTCTACGATTGAGACAATTTGCCTTGTATCATATCGGTCATCATGCATCATGAGTCCCTGTTCCATGCTGACCGCTGTCCGTTGTTTGAGCTCGTTCGCTCAAGACTGACGACCATCTTATACACCAATTCACAAACTACACTACATGTGAGAAGTGCAAAGAGAAGACTCAATGATCCTGTCCGGCTCAGATCCTTGGCGAAACCATTCCCATATATTCCCATCATGACTTGACTTGAATGATTGGTCCTAAGAGGACACCGAAGTGCCATTGGTCACGTCTCCATGTCCATCCAATAGGACCATCAACATCGGAAAATCCCACCAATCCTCCCACCCAAAAACTATCTACGAGACACTTGCAGGGCTGGCGCAGCCGCCTGGACTGGAAGGCGTGCAAAGCGGTCTCTGGGAGGAGTCTGAAGGTGTTGAACCGAGCTAGTGTCATCCAACCTAGGACCTAAGCCTAAGCCTTAGCACCTTCGCCGGAGTATGGACTGGGTGGAGACACTATCGGACACAAGTGAGGTAAATAGGGGTAAACAAAAGAGCGTGCGAAAAAGTGCGTGCGAACACATAAACTCAACCATGAGGTATATAAAATGGATCAGGAAAAGTCCATGTTGCCAATACATTGAGAGGTGTCTACCATCCCTTTGAACCACCAACTCAGCGCGTTGGTTGCGATGCCCCGCGCCAATCCGTCTCCAACATCTTGCGAATCCCGCTGTCAGTGGGATCGCAACAGTGGGCTGGCCATATGTATGGTGAACAAAGGGACTCGTCCTGAGAGTTTGCACAATATGGCGGTCACAGTGTGCTTCACCAAGAAACTAAAGAATACCAAGGATATCAATCCTTCGCTTCCATCAGCTTTGTTCGGGGAATGTACATAGGACGGTTCCAGTCTAAGGAAAACTGTCATATTTCGACTGTTTCATGGCTTGGAGATGAGTAGTATATAGATAATTACACTGTCCCTGTTCATGTCTAAAAAAACTGGAGATTTCTTGTTGTGCCCCACATCTTTCAATTTCCCAGGCCTTGGGTCCCATCGGTGCAGGGCTGGAAGCAGGCGACGCAGGTTGCTTGCTGTCCGCAGAAGTCCCAGCATTGCTCCACGGACGGAAATCTCTGCATGATCCTCAGTGTGCTGATCTGTGTACTTTTGTGTGTCTTCATGTCCTATCTCTACCAGTAGTGATGGTAGGGTTGTCTGATGAGGCTGCTTTCGATATTGCAAATGAACATGTCCCAATTCATATTGCATAAGTTTGCAAATGCTTGAATTGTTTGTTCGAGGGCTTCCATGTAGAGATATGGTACCTGTACGTCCACATGGTAGGATACCCGCACAAGCACTCACCAGGATCCCTCAGCTTGCTGTCAACAAGTCGCACCCCATAACCCTTCCAGTCCCTTCGAGTCCCTTCCAGTCTTTCAACTGGGGTACAGTGGGGCTTAGGTAGTAGAATACAGCAAACAGCCAACACCCAAAAGCAAGACATGAAACCTGTTCCGACCCGACTCCGGTCGATGTCGTGTCACTTGTGGGATATGATGAGTGGAACTTGGATACCTATATTATATATTATATGTTTTTATGTACTATAGAATTGAACTATAGAAAATGCCTGAATAGCTACCAAGATGAAGTGCGACCCATTTGTAACCAATTAATTGACCAAACCACCCATCTTCAATCTCTGACATATCACAACCTCTCCCAACTGTCTGCGGCTCAAGGTATGTACCTACCTCTCTCAACTCCCTTCCGATTTCTGCTTCAAGTGCAACAGTGGGTGCTCAAAAACCGTTCCGGAGCCGATCCCGACTGTGGCGGATCCCGATGTGGAGCCCGGCATCGAAGGGTCCGTCGGATCCAGCGCGTTCGAGCAGAAGGAATCCGATTGGGTGCTGTATCTGTCGGAGGTGGCTCCTAGACATCGGAGAAAGGGCAAAGGTTGGGAGTCAGAAGAAGAAGAAGAAAGCACGGTGAGTCGGAGAACAGGAATGTTGAACAAGACACATGCCTGCTACTATGGCATCAATCATACATGGACTACCATTGGAAGGAATCAGGAAAACCACCAAGTCCAGTATGTATCTAGGCTTAGCCAGGAACGTTGGGTAGTCCCCCCCCATGTCCGATGGTGCCGAGCTCAGAATTCTTCAGGATCGAGCTCCGAGATGTTCCTCAAGAGATACGAACATGCAGAAGTTGTTCTTCTTGGTAGGCATGCAGTAGCAGGCACCCATTCGTCATTGAGGTGGTAAGATCTTGTCTCTACCTCGTGTCTCTCTAGTGAGAAACGACGGCAGAAGCAAAGGTAGATGATCACCCACTGGTAGCGCTTACCGCACCCTGATCCCACCGATTCATCCCCTCAACCAGGCGATTCATCCGCCAGGCGAGTTCCGAACTGGTCTCCCCTCACGCCAGCCTTGGGTGGTGGTGGCGGTGGTAGATGTTGTGCTTCTTGAGGTCGTGGTGGATCCTGGGGTTGTCGACTCAGTACTGGTGCTGGTCGTTGTAGTTGGCAGCTTCTTGTAGCAGGTCATGTCGGTGTGTCCGGAGGCCTCACTGTTGTTACCAAGCAAGACACAAAGGGACACTAATGGGATGGAAATGCCCGCAAGTGCTCGTCCCATGCGAAGAAATTTTACAAATGGGGAGTTTTGTTTATCAAGAGTCTACAACTAGTGAAGGAACAGAATCTGAGCAGCTTGAGAGGGAATCCCCCATGGACTGTGCCTTGGAAGGCATGTCCCCGGGTCCTTATCTCTTTGGGAAGAGTGTTCGGACCGGGCGGTTCATAGATGCTCAACCAATATATTCAGAAAGAAGTTCCAGCAGCCATTTCTTGGCTCCTTCCATTGGTCATCTCCAAATGAACAAATTGCCAGCAATTGCTCCCTCACACATGGAACCTGCAGACCCTCAAGCAAAACAACAGCGCTGACCACGTGACTGTGTGACGAAACATGAAAAATATGTAAAACCAAACACCAATCATTCACAATTCTTCCGAATTCTGCATGTTTGGTTGATTCTTTGACCCTGGCATGTGGCGAATTCCTCGAACGTCTCCCTCCACCAGTCCCCGAAGTTGGGCCAACACTCGCCTGCTTCACCTCGCCGGTGCCGAAGAAGTTGTTGGTGACAATGCCCGTGATTGGGACCTGCGTGTGAACAAACCGTGTCCTTTCGGTCTTCTGTCCAAAGAAGTTGAGCCAAGCTCTGCTAAGCCAAGCCAACAGTGACCAGCGGTGGCAGCGGCGGGGGGAGATGAGCAGAATCCAATAGAATCCAGCATGGTGGCGGGCGGAAAATGCATTCAAGAGAAACCAAAATCGGTTGAAGTCTGCTGTTTGCAGTCCGAATAGGTTGAAGCAGCACAGCGCCTGGAAACTGGAGGGTGATTGCCCCTGGTTCATGTAGACCTTGGCTAATCGGGGCTCATCAGGATGCACATTGCAATGACAGGATCCCACGCTCAAAGAAACAAAGCATGGACAAGTGGGTGTGGAGAAGTTTTTTGATACCACTCAGTTGGGAAACGCGTTCAAGCGCTGAGCAAACATGCCTTGTGAGGAGTAAAGATATTGCAAATGTAAGTGTCGTGATGTTGTCTTGTCCATTCCTACCAGGGTGGCTGATAACACCTCCATCAACGCAAATCACAATTGTGAATGCATGGCAAGTGCAACACTCTGAAGATGTCCAACGTGCAACGCTGGCAACCCACCACAATCGAAAGCAAACTGCACTTGATTTCAGATGACTCCAGTATACAATGACCTGGGATAGTTTGTGTTCGATGAACAAACATGACTGGCTAATCTACAATCTACAAGACTTGATGAAAGCTGCATGAGACATTTTCTCCGTTCCTCATCAGCCCTCTTCACAGCTCAGCCAAGCAGACCCTTCGGTGCCCGTTGCCCTCGCCACCGGGACATCGGATGAGCCACACTCCCAGAGTCGGCACCTGACACCACCCCCACGGGTGACATCCCACTCAACGATCAACCGAGGCTCTATGCAGTCATTACTGGTGGAAAATGCAAAGCCTGGGCTCTGGGGCTCTGCAAGTGAGCGGTTCTCACACTCCTCCAGCGTCCCAGCATAACCCATCTCGCCGGGGGCTGCTTTGTAGCGTTCATATTGCTTGTTCCTCGCAAACGGGGTCACGGCTGGTTGGTTGGGGAGGTATGTGTGTGCGTGTTCCCATCTCGTGTTACGGCTTTTCGCACACACAGATCCTTTTTGCAGGGTGTTTCAGGGTTCCCGCATAGACATGCAGAGACATAATGCACATACATAAAAATACTATAACTATATACACATATATATATATATCTATCTATCTATCTATCTATCTATCTATTAGGTTATAATATGGAAAAAACAAACACAAAAAGTAAAATACTATATATAGGCGGTATCTTTCTTTATGGTCCTCAGGTCCTCCAGTTGTTTTTGTCTGTGAAATCTATCATCATGGGCTTTGGAAAACAATCACGCCATCATGCTCAAGGGTTAAACTTACTTTTTGCCCGCAAAAGCTTGCCCTTCGTATCTCAAAACCAGAAGCAATGCCAAATTCTCTGCTTGCAACCGCTTTCTATTGCTGTAAATCCTATTAGCACCGTTTAAAATCAATTGTTCATAATTGTTGTCCAATACCCTCCGTACCAAAAAGCAAACAGCTAGCACCAGCTAGGAGCTCGCCACCTTACGTACCAAAGCCAACGGAATCGGCTGATTTGGTGGGCTCAGCTTTGGTCTCGGCAAAGGAGCAATCTTTGACCTTTGGCATTGGTTTGGCTTCGGTGGCTTGGTTGTGCCTGGTTTGGCTTCAAAAAAGCTGCATCGGGGGAGGGTGCAGCGCTCAGAGCAAGCAATGCTCAAAGTACACTTCGTTGAGATTCACTTCGAAATGATTCTGAAAGGCGTCGGGACCGCAGACAGCAACGAACTGGAACCAAAGCAACGTCGAGACGACAGGACCAAAAGACCCCAGGAATGCTACAAAACCTGATTCACACGTTGTGGGGAGGTGAGTGGATTGCACAGCGAGTAGGGTGAGTTAGTGTTTCTGCTTGTAGGTTTCCTTGGTGTTGTTGTTCTTCAGATCAACTGCAAAAACATACTGGGAACCGGATCTGCGTGCTGCCATCCTGGTCAAATCCCAGTAAATGTAGTGCATGCCAAGGCGCTGCTCGCTCATACAGTACCTAGGTGGAAGGATGAAATTCCAGCCAGTATTCTGCTACCTACAGGGCCCTTTCTGAGAAGAAACTGGTGGACCACTGAAAAGAAGATAGCAGAGAAAGTCACCCGTGTTCTGCGGAATGCAAATACCATCAAATACCAATCGTACCGGCGGACCTTGCAGGGATGACCAGGTGTCTGCGAATGTCCGCAGGTGTCTGCCAGGTGGCCCAAAGCCCAAGTCTTCGAACGCCGAGTCCACAAGAGACAGCCATGCCAGAAAGAGGCGCAAAGCAAGCGGCATGGGTCCGTGAGGCGTTTCTGCACCCTTTGCGGAAGAACATACTTTGACTCAAGTGGCTCAAGTGGTTTGTCAAGCGCGATGATGTGCACTAGGGATCACCAGGGTAAACGAAGTTGAGAAGCCTCGTCACATGCTTGGCTGTTTGCATGCTCTAGTGTCCAGGAAATGTGTGTCTCAAAAGTCACTCTTCAACAATTGAAATAGAGAAACTCATCTAACATTCTAACATACACCAGAGGGTTGGAACGCTGTCCCCGGCAAGAAGTCATCGATACTCCGCTCCGTGAAGACTGCTTTGTCTCAGGTCATCTTTGTGGCTTTGAGAAACCATCGCAGTCCGCAAAAATCTGGAAATCCAATCTGATCAATCTGGCAAGCACCTGCAAAACATTCCTGACGGGATGTTGCACGATGTGGTTGTGGTTGGAGCATTGCAAACACTGGGTCCTTCGGAGAGCTTGAGTCACGTCAGCAAGGGTGTCTCAGCCCTACTGGCGTCAAAGAAACCTAAGAACCTAAAAGCCCACCACAAATACCAGTTTTGAATGGAAAAGGGTCTCAACCAAAGCTGGGAAGCTTTGCAACATGACCAGACCAGCTTTGGTCCCGAGGCGAAGGCGAGGTGGAGCAGGAGTGAAAACAGATTTGGGCGGAGCATGCACCCCATACTAAGACTAAAGACTTAAACAATTCTTGCATGTTTTACAGTCAATACAGCAAGGTACTATAGGATGATCTACATTGCGGAACCTTTCCCCACATGGTTTCCACTCACTGGATCTCCATTCGCTGGATCAAACTCTGAGCCTTTCTTGCGCCAGCCTGCAGCAAGAGCTGCACGACTTCCCAGTGGCCCTTCTGAAGTGACACATCCAAAGCAGTCACCCCATCTCTCAGATCTACATGATCTTTCTGAGCTTTAGCCTCCAACAACAGCCGCACAACCTCCAGGTGACCTCTGCCAGAGGCCCAATGTAAGGCTGTTCTCCCTTCTCGAGCGACATCTTGAAAGCCAGCTTCCAGCAGGAGCTGCACCACTTCTGGGTGCCCTTCCATCGCGGCAACATGTAGAGCTGTGGACCCAAAGTCTGTGGCCTCCCGTTGAGAGACAGCCTGGGTTGCAGTACCCTGAAGCAATAGCATCGCAACCTCAGCATGTCCATTCAGAGCTGCAGCATGCAAAGCTGTCATCCCTTTTGGCATGACCTTCTCCTTGTCAGCTCCAGCCTTCAGCAAGACCCGTACAACTTCCAGGTGCCCATTTTGGGCTGCCAAATATAAAGCTGTTAACCCCTGAGGCTGTTCCTTGTCCTGTGCCGCCTTGGCTTCAAGCAACAAGCTCAAGCATCGCCAATGGCCATTGCTTGCAGCAGCATGTAACGCTGTCCGTCCAAATGCGTCCGTGGTATCCGGAGCCAATGGCTGCTGGAGGAGCACTTCAACCTCCTCCCAGCGATTCCAAACACATGCAGAAATCAGCCTCTGATCTTGCTCATCCTCTGGTGGCTTGAAAGCCAAAACCACCAGCTGCAGCTCATCGTCATCAAGTCTTGCATCGTCATGCAACTCATGGCCTACTGACCCACTGAAGCATCTCTGTCGGAATCTGGAGACCCCAATCTGCTTGGCCAGGTGGATTTTGACCGATTTCACCGATTGGCCTTCCAGCTCGTCTGTGTGGAAGCTCGCGACTCGTTCGCCGGAGACGGCTGAGGAGACATGCAGCATTGGAGCGATGCAAGTGAAATGACTTACGTATTGTCTGGCTCAACTACATTGATCTTCGATCTTCACTTAACAATCACGAACCTCAGGAGATGAACGCCAGGGCTTAGTTCTGTTTGTGGGAGTGGTTGACTTTTGTAAGATAGAGAGTGTTTCACCAACCTGCAAGGCTACGAAAGAGCCTTTTCCGTCTGTCAGTTCCTGTTGTGCAGTTGGGTAAGGTCGGCTGAATTTTGACCGAGCAGATTATGTCCTAAAGTAAAGCAGAGCCAGAGTCACACGCACCAAAACGTTTCATCCATGCTTGCCAGGAATCTATGACATGCACACCCCAACTTCTTCAATAGACCAGACTCCCTCCTAATATGTCTGGCTCAGTGCCCTATATGGGTATTGGAGCACCACATCGGTCATGGTTGCTGAATCGAGCAAAGACCTCCCCGGGTTTTTGCGCTGAGACCGGCGGAGCCGGAGGATGCTCACGTTGGCCCCAGTCACTGGGGTCATCAGCTCCTTGAACTGATCGTTGATAGTTGGTTGCCCTAGCTGCTCAATATATGAGAGTTGTTTGGGGAGTTTTCGTTACTTCATCAGACACACCTTGATCTATACATATACTGTTACTTCATGTACTAAACAAAGTAAATCTCAGCTCTTTTTCTGTTCTTCCCTTCGAATCAATACAGCTCCTTTGGCTGACACGAAGCTCACCCATCCTGTCGCTCGCAGAGGCTCGGTTTTTGAAACGACGATAGCAGCTGCACTGGTGCAGCAAGCAGAAAAAGAAGAAGCGAAGCAAAAGAACTAACAAACTGCAGCACAAGGATGAACAAGGTACATGAATTCTTGACCAACAATTGTCCAGTGGCTTCCAAAATAGTAGAATCACTCTCTTCGGCTCTAGGGAAGCTTCGTTCAACGCCTACCTTCCCATGCAGCCGGTGTTGTATCACTGTGAGTACGGAGAATGATCCGCAACACATGTAGTGATGTAGCAGCTAGCTGAAGACCCACAGCTCTTGGACAGGTTGACATTGTGCTTACACGAATGAATCCATGGAAAATCAAGCGCTATATACAATGTCAGTGTCAAGTCACCAAGCCACCTTTCTATGTCTGATTCACTTGTTATGTCTATGTGGCAGTGCTTTGTAGAAATGATAGAACCCTCAAGCACATGCTTGTCACTTGTCTAAGCTGATTTGCCATGCCTATTGCCATTCCCACATATTTCTAGCAGCTCATCTGAGACAAGCGAAACCATCTAGCTCGTTGGGTGATCACAAGGAATAATACGGTGGATTCGTCTGCTTGGCTGGAAGATGGTGGATCGGGGATTCGTCATGCCGGGCTGGAGAATCGATGTCGAGATCAGCTCCACAGGCAGCAGTGAACACCCGGACCGGCCCAGTCCCTGTTTCAGATTCGCCTTCAGAGGGTCCTGTGCCTTCCAACTTGCGGTAGAGAAGCCTGCCAGGCAGAGAAACTGATCGACCTATCGCCCACTTCCCAAGATTCAGATCTCTGGAGGTGATCAACCTGTCAAGCTGTGTGCAGATGCAGATGTCAAGTTAAGCTGTACATGAATGTGTTGTGATGCCAGGTCTTGATGGTGTTTTACCACTCTCGGATGAAACCAGGTCTTCTCTCGAATGCGCAAAGATCCAGATTCCCATCAACATCGCAGTAGGAAAGTTCCTCACCAGCTTCCAAATGCTGTGGCAGGTCAAATCCGACAAAAGAATCTCAGCGGGGCTACAAACTCAGTGGTTGAGCAGGTTACAAACTCCATGGTTGAAGGTGGACTATTGTCAGACAAGTAAATAAATATTCAAAGCTGATGGAACACATCCTGCAGGATTCAGTGTTGATCCACGGGCCAAACTGTACTGCAGGCGCAACTAGAGTGGCCTGTCTTTGGTTCTTTGAAGCTCTTGCACGAGCGCACCTAGGCCAAGCAACTTGCTCAATGAAGCGGTTTCCCTTGCTCAATGGCCAGTGTTGGTTTACCAAAGAAAGTCCAATCGTTTCAGCTGGGCGATTTCTTCCATTATATATATCCCTTGACGAATCTCCCTGTCCAAAGACCCAAATCGAACGCTTCTCGACATGGCCAAACACAGGGTGTCAACCTCCACATTCGCAAGACTCAAACAAAAAGAAGAAAAGAATCCCAGCCGCCCTTGAGATGTCCTGTACGACACCCCTCATAATAACCAGGCGTCATTGTGCTATACTGATGGGAACCTCATGGTCTGCTGACCTTGACCATAGGACCTTTCCGTGTTCATCCTCCCGTTCAGCTTCGCCATCTAGCAAGGACGCTACGAACGTAGCTGGCCTTACTACTTGGAACAAGAAGCTACGAACAGAACAAAGTGCATCGCTACGAACGTTCGCTACGGGGTTCATCCTTACTCGTTCGCACTTGCTCCGCGCGGCCGTGCTTCAGTCGTCCCTGGTAGTCCTCCTTCGCCACGCCGATGGAGGCGCGGCGGACCTGGGCCACCGTGTTGGCACGGCATGGGGTCAGCTACAGTGGAATTCTGGCCATGGATGGGGCCAGCTACAGTCACACCCCGATGTCAGGAACCCTGACATGGTGAAAGAAATAACTCGATTACTGTGAAGCAGCTGCCACTGGGGCCTCCCGCGATGATGCCTCCGTGCCTTTGACCTTGAAGTGGCAAAGTATCGACTTTGGAGGCTGTTGGGATCTAGGCTTGGTCATTCTTTCATGGTTCTTTGCTGGGTTGTTGACCATCTCCAAGAAGCATGTTGTAACATGCACGTAGCACAGTGACATGAGCATTAGGACTGTCATCCAAGAAGGATTTTGGATGATGTTGGATTCATTTCAAGAGTGTCATGTCCCCCATTCCGCTGTCCTCTGACCTCCCACATAAGACGAGTTACACAACAGAAATGCTCCCACATGTCTGATGACCATCTGCATCAATTGGGTGGGGTCGTCACATTGGATGATGTGCAAGCTGGTCATTCGGTTAAAACTCTGTTGGGATGTGGCCAAGTTTGCCGCCTTTCTCATCATTGAACTGGCTTGCAGTAGTGAGTAGGCAAGAGAAGAACTCCTCTTTTACTTCCTCTTTTGATGCAACCTACCGTACGATCTGGGCCTCTCTCAAAATGAGGAGACATATCCAGGGGCCCTTTAGTCTTCAAACAAACCTTTCACACTCCGGATCACAACGATCGGCAAAGCTTCCGCACCTCCCACCACGCGCCAAGTCTGGCGAGGAGAGTACCAGAGAGTACGGTTTCTGCATTGCCCAAAACTATTAGTGAAGCACCGCCGTCTTCAGGATTCAAAATCACTTGAAACTGTCAAGAGACACCCATGTGCATGTGTTTTCCAACGAAGCAGGATCCTCCCTTCTCTGCCTTGTTTGACTGATGAACACGGGAGCTGCAGCAGTGGCTTGCGCCAGTTTCTCTTGGGTTCTTTCATGTTCCTTCCGTTTCGGAAGGAACGTCTGGGGAAAGATTCGTCAGACCCATCAGGGCCACGCAATCAGCACAGAAGTGGTCACGAAATGGGTCCGGTTCGGTGTCACAACTCAGCGATAAGGAGCAGTGTCGCACACAGAAGTTGTAGCATTCAAGTCATCCAATGGTCCCCTTTTGCCCCTTGCCCAGTCCCACAACTGGCGGTCGAACAGGAGAGTGTGGCCAAATCTTTCGTTGCAGTGACACAAAACCAACTTGGACCCAGGAGAGACGGCTGAAACCATCTGTTGCCAGCACATTCATCTACTCATGTTGCTCCATTGCTCCAGACTGGGACCATCTGTAAGCCGCCACAGGTCCGCCTTGGAACGTGTCTGCGGAGGTGAAGTCTTCGCCTGGTCACGTCTTCAGTCCACACGGCCACACGGTTTCAGAAGGTGCTTTGCAAAGGGGCAGGGAGATCCAAAGCCTAAGGCCTTTTGGAAAGCTATACCTGGATCGTCCAACAACTACGCAAGATGGCTGCCTTTGCGCCTACAAAACCCGCCAAAAGGCAGAATTATGCATTCATAGTTGGAAGATCCAGGTATACTTTATAAAATGTTATAAATTGTCTAAAAGCTCTCGATGATACTGATTGAACACGGCCCTGACCCCATGCCACAGACAAAGGATCTTCCCTGTTCACTATGCTCAATGGAGGGGAGAAATCCGTCCAAAACCCCAGCAAGACTTGAACTTCCACTGTAAAAGCCGGGAGAGTCGTCCTTACATCAAGCAGAAGACTTTCGGGAAACTGCATGCTGCTATCATCCACACATGAGCAATGCTTCTGGGAGTGGCAGCAACTACTGTAGCTCATCAATACCTTTCCAGGTTGATGATTCTACCTACTCATCTGTAGGTTATACATAAAGTGCGAATCCTGGAAGAATATTGTGGAAGATCTTGCCTAGGTGACATCAATATTTAGATATCAAGCAAATGCAGTTGCTATTAGGATGGAGGACATCGCTCTTACGTTGGAGGCCATCGCTAGTAGGTTGGAGGCTTGAGAGAGCTCTTTCTAACACTTCTGATTCCAGGCCTCCGTGGGTGGCACGTCATCCAGAAGCGGGTCATGCTTTGATGAGACCTTCGACAAATGGCGAATACGTCGAGTGGGGGACACCGTTGACACGCAATGGGATCATGGTGGTTTACCCTCAAGAATCAAGGATTGGCTGCCCCCTGCATCATGTGATGCGTTAATTGAGGCCCGTTTTCCTTTACCCCGATTGAAGTCAATACCAAATCGGCCAAATCATGATGCAGGCGAAATATTCAGTTTAGATTCTGCGGTGCACTTGGGCTGCAATGTTTTGCATAGGAAGCTACTAGTAACAAGAAGCTACTAGGTGGAGGCCATCGCTAGTAGGTTGGAGGCCATCGCTATGTCCTTATTCCCATCAAAGCCCTCACATCGGACAGGTGTCCCAAAGACGTCTGGTTCCTCTGCTTCCCGACGCAGCCAGGCTCCAAGCTCTCTTCGCACTCCAAAAGGGACCTCAAGATGTTAGGGATGTGCTTAAGGTAGAAAGCAAGGATGCCTAGTCCATATTGCATGCAATTGCATGCACAGCTGTGGGCAATGATTGGGTTCTTGTAATGCGCAAAGCAATGGTATCCCAAGGCTCCAGTTCTCAGAGCGTCAATATGAAAATGATGGTACTTCCTTCTATACTTACACGTTATCAACGATCAACTTTCGTGTGCGCTTCTCTCAGCTAGACTCGAGCTTCGGGTTTTTACCTTCCTGCGAAAAAGGAAGAAATGATTCATGAGGAACGTGACAACACCCCCAAACTCAAAAAGCCTCACTAGCCCAAATAAGTACACCATGGCTCAACATACCTCAATCTGACGGGGTTTGACACACCTGCCTGCAGGGAAAGTCCAAGCTGAGTGGATCTCCCCCTACCTGTACCAGAGATGCCATGAGCGCACGCCAGATCACGACGGATTCGGATGACCAGAACCAACATGTCGAAGACATGTCCAACGAAACTCCCGTCTCACAGCTCTGGCGCTCCAAACGTTTTCAGATCTTTTTGGCAATGGTAGATGCGGAAATTGCCCAAGGGGCGAAGCCTCTTGCAGGCGGTTTTCGATGGTCAACTGGCAACCCATTCATGTCATGGCATGACCTGCGTGCACCCACTTCAACGCAGTCCTGCAAGCTAAGAACTTGGGTGCAAATCCACATGTGCAGATCGCGAGACACACCGACTCCATTAACTTCCAAAGGATGATCTGCCTTTCGACGAGATTGCTGGCATACTACGGGTAATGCCCTTTCTGAGGGAATGGTTTTCGGAGCTCTCAACCCTTAAGTCGTCCCTTCGCCCTTCAACACTAGTGTGGGTCAGCTGGGTGGCGCCCTTCAACTCTGGAGGAACGGCGTCTCTGGTGCCTCAGCTTCGTTTCGAGGATTCCGAAGCCTTTCTGCTCCATGTGCTCCTCGAATCACTCGTTGCGAAGGCGGCAGCGAGCGAGCTGGTTCGATGTTGAGGCGGCAGCGAGCTGGTGTCAAGGCTTTGTTAAAAGGCTTTCTTCCCTATGGCGTCTTGATGGTCCTTCAGATTCAGACTGTGACCGATTGTATGATTATCTCCAAGTGTTCAAATCCACAGAATCTCCAGGGTTCTTCACGGACTACGTAGAAGCTAGAGTGGGACCTGAAGAAGAACCCTTGGACCGCTGACAACTGATTTCCTCTATAGTACGTGGCGTGGTTTTCAGATCCCATGCAACTGAGCCTGGGCTGTTGAGCTGTGACTTTCGGTCGATTGTTGCTGATCATCTCTGATCATCACACCCAGAGAGCCATTGATCGCACCATATCGGGTGTCTGCTTGGTAGTACCCGAGATTTTGCCTGAAATGTCTCCGCTACAATCTCTACACCAACATCCAGAAACCCTTCGTGTGGAACCGCAGTGACCCGCGTCACTCGACGTCGCTTCCCCGACGTCGCTTCCCCCGGCTCTTTCTCGGTCCTGAAAGCCTTTGACGCCACCGCGCCGGTCCTGGGACAAGGCGACATGGGGCCCCTGCTGGTCTCTTCCCAGGCTTCTACACCCCGACTCGGAAGAAAAATCCGATGAAACTCTCAGTCAATTCGATCCCATCCAAAAAGGCCATGTATATTGGAATCCCTCGTATTGAGCTACCACACCACTGATGGACCTCAAATGAGACATGTTTGGGACTTGTTGGACTCCTCCAACAACTGCGGAGCATTCGATGCCACGGTATGCTCGCACCGCGAAATGTACGGTGTTTCCAACGGGCTCGGTGTGGAGTTTGTGGTATGTCCAGCGAACGTCACTTGATGCCCATCCCTAGGGCGGACCTTGCGCCACTCATTCCAAGTTGACCATTGCTCATTGCACCTTTGCAGCTTAGCCATTTCACACCAGCTTCCAAAGACTTGTCCAAACTTGCCCTTGATTGACGAAATACCATGAAATACCTTCCAAGGCCTTCCAGGTTCATGTGTGTGTGCACGTCTTGGAAAAAGGGGTTCGAAATCAGTTCCACGCAGATGTTCAAGCTTCGAATTCGAGACGCTGATGTTCTGAGCTGCATCTCAGAATGAGTCATCTGCATCTCATGGCGAACCCTCAGCTTCAGACATTCACAGCTGCTCTGTGGTGCGAACCCTCAGCGCTGCATGAATGGATTCTGGACGCCAACCTGACCATGGGTTCCTGCGGCATGCATGGAGGTGGTCATTTCTCAGACAAATCATGTCAAACTTGCGGAAAAGGACAGCGAACTGTGGGGAATTCATTCAGAAGTACAGCTTCGAATATCAGCTTCGATCAACAGTTGCACCACATCAGTGTGGTCTTTCTTGGCCGCCAAGTGCAAAGCTGTTGCTCCGGAATTGTTCGCCATGCTTTTGTCAGCCCCGGCTTTCAGTAACACCCGAACGGTGTCCAGGTGGCCAGAAGCTGCTGCTAGCTGCAACGCTGTCGCCCCAGTAGCATTTGCCAAATCTTTATCAGTCCCAGCTTCGAGCAACAGTTGAACGATTTCCAGGTGCCCACTCCCAGCTGCTAATTGCAAAGCTGTTCCCCCAGAGTTGCTTGCGGTGTCTGTGTCAGCACCAGCGTCCAGCAACTGCCGGAAAAACTTCGAGGTGACCATTGTCCGCTGCTCGATGCAGGGCAGTTACACCAGTGAGCATCACCTCATCTGCGTCTGCACCAGCTTCAAGCAACAGCTGTACGACATCCACATGGCCGGTCGCCGCTGCCAAGTGTAAAGCCGATGCCCCAGAATTATTCACCTTGAACGCGTCAGCCCCAGCCTCAAGCAGCATGCGAACGACTTCAAGGTGGCCATTTCCAGCTGCCAAATGCAAAGCAGTTTTCGTCCCAACGTAAGTGACTTTGTCTGTGTCGGCTCCAGTTTCGAGCAAAAGCTGCACAACGTCCAGGTGGCCATTGTCGGCTGCCAAGTGCAAAGCTGTTGAACCAGCCTTGAGAGTGACGCTGTCTCTACCAACGCCGGCCTCAAACAACAGACGCACAACCTCTAGGTGTCCATTACCAGCTGCCAAGTGCAATGCCGTCGCCCCGGACTTGCTCACCTGCTCTTTTCGAGCTCCAGCCTCAAGCAGGAGCTGCACGACTTCTAAATGCCCATTCCCAGCTGCTAAATGCAGAGCTGTCGTTCCAATATGAGTCGCCTTGTCTTTGTCGGCCCCAGCCTGGAGTAAAAGACGGACCACTTTCACATGTCCGTTGTTCGCAGCCAAATGCAGCGTTGTCCCACCAAAGCGGTCTTCGGTGTTCAGCGCTGCGCCAGCCTCAAGCAAAAGACTTAAGCATTGCCAATGGCCATGTTGCGCCGCAAGATGCACTCCAGTCCTCCCATCTTCATCGGTGGCTCCTGGACTGAGGGGTCTTTGCAATAATCGCTCCACTTGGTCGCAGCGGTTCTCAGCACAAGCAGAAATCAGCTCTTTGACCTGCCCACCTTCAGGAGGGCAGAAATCCAGTACAAGCAGTTGCAAGATGGAAGGAATCAAAAGAGCCTCGTCGTCTTGCAGCTCACTTTGATCTTCTCGAAACAATCTCTGCCGGAATCTTGGAACCCCAATCAGCTTGGCCAAGTGAGTCTTTAGTGACAAGACACCCCTGTCAAACGTGTTGGCACCGAAAGAGGCAATGGTTTCACCACTCACAGCTGAGCACACTCGCAGCATGAGCCAGGTGCTTTGCTGGACATCGGATCAGAGCCGCTGTCCACAATGTATATAAGTTTTGACACCTTTTAGGAACTTGTACTGATAATGAACTCAGGGCTACAAGATTACGAGATTGCTTTGAAGTATGTTAAATAGTATTCCATGCGGTTTTGGGGTTGCAAAATTACATCTTGGGAGATGCTGCGTATCTGCTGTCTGTCTGAGCGTCTGAACAGTTCAGAATGCCAAACCTGCGGTTGGTCTGCACAAAATGGAGAACCAACGTACGGCCGCGAATGGTTGGCCGAACATGAGAAATCACAGACCGGGCAGCGGGGTGGGATCGCTGACAGACCGGTCTTGGGGGCCTCCAGGGAGCGGATGACCTCTGCCCGAAGCAGATCGTCAGTGGTACATAGTGGTACTATGGGAGGTTCTGAAGTCTGTCTAAACTCTCTTGGAAAATCCATGTGCTTCGGCAGTAGTTATACTGTAAGTTCTACAGTACACAAGAGTCTCACAAACCTTCGTTGATCTTCGTTGTATTGACTCAGGAATCCTTTATCAAGGTCTGCCTGAGGGCTGTTGGTATCAAAGTCTGGTTCCTCTCCCAGCTGCCCAGATTCACCATGACTCACCACAGCTCCAAAGGTTCCGGGAACGGAACGAACGGAACGAACGGCTACAGTCGAACACCTACATGTCTGGCATATTTACCTGACCCCTCTTCAACGACCTAAGCGTAAGTAGTGCAGAGTAAGCTATGGCCCGGATGGCCAGACCTCCGACGCGGCGAGCACCACCAAGCCGCCCGGGGCAAGCCTTAGGAGCGGGAGTTCCCAAGTTCCGGAAACCAAACGCTCCAAGGACTCGCGGATCGTTGAAGATCTGCGAGAAAGAATCCGTACAGAAGTCGCAAGGATGAAGACCAGGAGTCGAAGCCGCAAGGATTCGCAGAGCTTTTGGGAGAAAGAAGAACGGATCGCCTTTCGTGTGTTGGTTCGGGTCCAGATCCTTTGGGTGAACAAGGATTTCGGAAGAGAATGCAGAAACTTTGAGGGATGTGAGCTTATGACCATGACACTTTGAGCTATGGATGCTGACATCCACTAAATATAGGGGAGGTTCGACTAGGTCACTAGCTGAACTGGCCGTATGGATCGTCGGTTTCTTGGGGACGGACGGCCAAACCACCTTTGGACGGTCTCCCTGTCTCTTCCGTGAGATGTGTCGGCAGCTAGTCAAGGGAGCTCTGCATGAAAGAGAAGTTGGGAGCTGTGAGCTGCGCATCCCAAGAATCTGTGGAACAGAAGTTGCAAGACTTGGCCCGAATCTGTGTCCCTTGTAGAGATCAAGCAATCACCATTGGATTTCAACATTAAGATACATGAAGCAACTTCGTTGTTCAACCTCTTTCGGAACCCCAAAGAAAACCCAGAATCTGCAGAAAGCTCGAAAGATAAAACCTTCCCTCATCCCGTCGATTTCCTGTCTCACTCCTTTCATTCCTGTTCAAAAAGCAAATCCGAACAAAAATCCTTCCAAAAAGAGTTATATAAAACACACAGCAAGGCGTCTTTCCTCTACCAGATCTACAACGGGGGCTCTGGATGTGGACGCGCTCCCGCCGGAGCTGTGCTCTGCCTGAGCTCGTCACACACTGCAGAGCGCCTGAGCACAGAGCTGCGTCCACGGAATGGATTCGTCTCCGAACCGCCCGAGCTCCGAACCGAACGGTCGACCGTCTCCGAAGTGTGGACCGAGGACTTTCTTCATGGTTTCCGCGTGAGGACGTGCGGATGCATGAATTGAGGACGTGCGCAGCCGACGGTTCTGGGAATCGAAAGTATGATGAAGGTAAGGTCTCTCGTGGCAACTGCCTCGTGCTTGTAGTTTCTGCAACGAAATGTGCTAAGTAGTTCAGGAGTTTGTTCATGTTTTTGGATCAATCAAGCCCCCCTGGCAGACAAACTGGTCCATCACCGCAACACCTGCTCTTCCTACTGAAAATGTGCAATGACTCCACTCCGATGTCACTGTACGCAAAATACACTCCCTTCGACAGTGGCTCAAGACTCTACATCGAACATCCAACACGCTGCGTCTTTCGTGTCCTTTCCCGAAATGGTGCCGATTAGCTGTGACCTCACCGTACGTTGCGGCGAAACTGGCAAAACCCGCCTCGGCCACGGTGTCACCCCAGTTGCCGTAGATCACGTCGGAGCAAACGATGACCTCTGGTGTCCGTGATCCATGTTGAAACCTGCTAATTCCTCTTGCAGCAAATAAACGAAGATGGTCTTGTTCTCACGAAGGAACAGAACTCACTGCTAAGGCTTCTAATAGACTCTGCTAAGGAATGACAGTCAACGAGAATATCGAGAATCAGGAATGAAATGGGTCGGCTGTGATGCAATGGGATGGGTATCCAATAGTATCCCCCAAAACTGCATGGGACCCGATCAGGCCTGGACTCCAATTCGGAATGGCAGGCTTTTATCTGGTGGGTCCCATGGAACCTCACCGGGCTTTCACCCCATAGGAACAAAAAGCTATTAGGTTGGAGGATGTTGGAGGCCACTACTACCAGGAACAAGAAGCTACTGTAGCTCCTGGCCTCGCCATCAGTCCCGAGCCCCTCGTGTCCAGCGTCACCTCGACGTGATCCTCTCGAGGCCACGGATCTTCCAGGAGCTCCTGACCGATCCGATGCGGAACTCGTGAGATCGCTCCGTTCGTAGCGAGGCCAGGAGCCCCGTTCGTAGCGTCGCTTCCCAAGAGACATGAGGTGCCAAAAGCCCATGCCACCCGCCACTGAGCCGCAGAAGTTGTTTGAGAAGTACTCGAAATGCGGTTGATGGAAGTCCCAAGTAACTTTTGGTAACGTCATGTCTTTTGACTCCAAAAAGTCCAGTGTACCAATAAGCAATGAATAGGCAAAAATGAGTGCGGCTCAAGAATGTGTTCTTTTAAATGTTGTCTCAGCAAGAACTTCACTGCTGGTGTTTCAGGTGGTTGAGCGACAGAAAGATTTGGAGAAGCGATTTCAATCTGCGTGGAGTCACACAAGTCTATAACATCAAGAAGGCGTAAGTAAGGGGGACTCCTCCAAGTAGCAACTTGAAGGGTGTTGCTAGGTGCACCATACCATTTGGAATGCCTTTTGGGAGTGCACAAAGAGGCTTGTCAAAAGAACTTTATTCGATTGCTTTCGTGTTTTGAACCCAGAAGCCTTCTCTCTTTGTCAATCCACCCTGACCACCCACCTCCCAGCGCAAGACACGGGAAGCCACCTAGGAGCGCGGCGAATGCATTGGTGGAGAACGTCATCCGGTTCTCTGCGTTAAGGGCCAAGGGCTGCTATATAGTCAGAAGTCAGAAGTAAATGGACCACACTTTAGGGCATCCACTTTCTACCGGTGTTCTTAAACAAAAACGCGGAATCATGGAAACTGGCTTGAACGGACTTTCAGCCTCAGCCTCAGAGCATCTTGTAGTGGGCCCCACTGAGGGCGGTACAATTACCATGTGTTAAACAAGTAAGCAAGGAGGGGCATCTTGACAGTGAGAAAGACCATTTTGTCTCCCTTCGATTGGATTTGTTCCGATTCTATAAACTAGATGAACAAGCTAAGTGTGAGTTGATCCCAAGTTCTTGGAAGAAGCATGCTGCGGCCACACCTGTGCCGGCTTTTCCAGAGCTGATGGGAGACTTGTGATGGACTCGCTCAGCTGTGTCCATGATGGCTACTCCTCTGGCAGGCGACTTGCACAGGGATACTTTTGCGGCATCGCACCTGGATAGGATCAGATGCAGAGCGCCCGAACAACCAGCCAAGTACGGCTTTTCCCAAGCAGCGTCCCGCCTGCAATGTGCGCCTTGTTCAGATTGGTGAGCGTACCTGTGCCCGGAATCTCCTGTCTGCCTCTAAGTTCTGAGTTCCTGCACCTGACTGCATGTCCGCTCCTTTCAAAACTCCATTTTCAGATCTTCCGTCACTTTTGAATCTGACCCTCAAGCGACTGCCCTGAAACTTCCGAATCGTTCTCCTTGGCTGCCACATGGGAAGCTGCTGGTCCACCTGGTATGCTGTCTGTGTTGGCACCAGCCTCAAGCAATTCCAGGTGGCTCTCTGGAGCTTGGATATCCAAATAATGGGCGACTGCCTGCATCAGCCAAAGCCTCCAGGAACAGCTGCCTGATTCTGCAGGTGCAAGCCAACACCTCAAGAACATGAATCTCGCTCATGGAACCCCCTTCCTCTTCCAGGGAACAAAACACCACCTGGAGATGTCTAACTGTCTAACCTCCCAAGAAGAAGAACAACCAAAGCCCCTGGGCCATGAAGACTGAAACCTCTGTAAACATCTGTAAACACCTCCCATTCCACTCCCACGCGCCATTGCCCACGAAGCGGCGTTTGTGAGGTGATCCTCTCCCTGAGAGCTCCACAAGGACCTCACCAAACGGACATCGGAGCGTTCACCAACGACGAAAACAACGATGAAAATAGACGCGTTGTTGTCTTTTTTAAAACCAACTCAACCGAACATCTCGCAACTGTCCCATGTGTTCATGACATGGTTCACATCGTTTCACCTTTCGGGTTGGTAGGTGTCGGTATTTCGGTTGGTCAAGTGGTTTGGGATGGTTTGGGGATCTTTCGGGTGGATTTTTTCGCTGAAAAGAAATGTGTGGCTTGACTTTGTGCTTCAGCTGGGGTGCGTGTGTCAATTGGGTTAGACGATGCGAGAGCTGTTCTTCCAGAGACACCCACAAATGGTGGAAGAAGAATTCTGGAAAACCAAGGACTCTGTGAGGGTTTTGGCTCATTCAACCTTAATGTGCTAAAAGAATCCAAAGGGTTCCCCTTCTATCGCCTTGATGGAGTTAATCTTGCACAATCCTTTTTCGGGATCAAACCTGGTAGCTGTGTCGTTGGCTGCTTGATTGCGCTTTATATAATCAAATTACAGTACCATAATTCAGTAATCAAAACAAAACCATGTATAGATTGCTATGTATTGTTTGTTTTCCTTGGTCTCCTCTTTTTCCGCATCTGAGCCACACAGCAGGAGTGGGGGTGAGCCAAGAGGGGCCCTCAAGGACATTTTGCTGCACTCCGTTGGCTTTTGGCTACCTTTTGGCTACCCTCTAACAGTAACAAAGTCCTCTCAAGGCCCGAAGACTCACTCAAAAGAAAAGAAACCAAATCTTTCTCAAGCTTTACATGCGGTTATTGGAGCCACCTGAAGCTCAACCACAAGCTCCCCAACGCTACACCCCCTCCAACGCCGCCTCCCTGGCGGCTATGCCCCGTTTCTCCGTCCCAGGAGTCCCGGGCCGGTTGAGGTCGATGTTCCGCGCGAGATTCCTCACCACCTGGTCATCTTCCGGTCATCTTCCCCGGAGTCGAGATCCGTCGAAAATCTCAGACCGCAGATTCCGCAGATGTGAGAAAACCGAGACTCCACGCCTCCTCGTCTCCGTCGGTGATGAGGGTTGAACTGGCCCAGAGTTGGAAGCGCACGGTCAACGGACCGAGGAACATGTTGGTGGCCGCTTGGTCCGGTCTGGGCACCGTTCAACACTTCTGAGGTCCAAAATCCACCAGAACGGACGCTCTAGACATTTATCTAGTAGCTTCTTGTTCCTAGTAGCGATGCCAGGAGCTACTAGTAGCGTCCTTGCTCCTAGTAGTAAGGCCAGGAGCCCCTAGTAGCTTCTTGTTCCTGGTTGCTTCTTGTTACTAGTAGTAATGCCAGGAGCTACTAGTAGAGTCCTTGCTCCTAGTAGCGATGCCCTTTGTTACTAGTAGCGTCCTTGTTCCTTGTTGTCAAAAGAGGCACAGCAATCCTGCAACCCACCTTCATAAAGACACACCATCTGCATCTTTCGCATCCCAGTATATGTCATATGTCTAGGGCATAACTCCCCGAGGCGCAACGTGAAATTGGAGCCGTGGTGTCCAAGAAGTGAAACGCCGTGCTTTAACATGCTTTAACTATCCATGTTCCTCCAATGTTGAGAATCTTTGACAAACCAATCCCACCTCTGTGGCAGTCTTTCCACTTCGGCCCTCTGTGCCAGTCACTTCGTTGCGAAGCGGATCGCTGAGCAGCTCCGTCCGCTCGCCTCGCCAAACGTGCCACTGCGATACCCAGTAGGCCACAGCCTGCACCCACCTGAGGCGCCGTGAGGCTCTGGGTGAAAATTGTGGAACCGCAGAAATCGAAGGAAAATTCCCATAGGTTGAAGTTTCTCCAAACTCAATAAATCAAAGCAAAAAGCCATGAATAGCCATGGATACGCTAATAGCGATGGCCTCCCTCTGAAAAATACACATGTCTTAAAAGCGTAGTTTGCAGTGAGGATTGGGTTACCTTCTTGATGAAATTAAATATAATGTACTTTGTCAAACTGTGTCGCATGGTCTCTCTCTGCCACCTTGGTGTTTCATGGGGGTTGATTGTGGCTCCAAGAACTGTTGAGCATAGCCAAATAAAATCAGATAAACCATTTGCTGGTGGAGCTGGCCTTGGTGTTTGGCCTTTGAGGACATCTCCACTTCGGGAGCTTCCAGGGCCATCAAAAATTCACCGGGATGTGGTGAAGTGTGGAGTTCTCGAGTGATGGTTTGGCTCAACTCCATGCGCGGTTTCTTTGCTTCCTCCACCTGGGGCGGCTGATGGCCCCTTTGACTTCTAAGCCACTGAGATCTTGGTTCGCCACAGCAAGTCCAAAGGTCCCTTTAAAAGTTGTTGTGGCAACAGAATGGCAATAGGGGATTAAAATAGCTGAGGTGCTTGAGGCGTGGATGTGTAAAGCAGTTCGCCCGACTCGCAGCTGGCCTCCAAGACCTTCTTCTGCTCGACCAGCTCAGGCCTGCACAGCACAAATTCATTGGAAATCAGTGGTCGAAGAAATCTGACAGTTGAAAGTTGTTAAGTCGAAGTCATTTGCCAACATTTCCAAGGATTAGCCCTCAAGAATTTCTGCCGAATCTGCTGCCCCCCCCCGAATCTGCTAATGACTGTGTCGCGACAGCGACATGCGTTGCCTGGCCATGAGATGCCGTGCCAAGACGATACTGGAGGACCAAAGTTGACATCCTGTCGAGGCATGGACACCTCGGCCATTGGGGACGGGGACTGAAGACGACTAAGCAAAAAGGTGAGACAGGTGTTTCAGATGTTCTGTATAATGTTGAAGTACTCTGAATTTCCAGTTGAAGTCATCACACGTGGCTTTGCCCAAGCCGGCACTTTAGGCTCGTCACCCCCCTCACTGTCAAAACAAAAACGGCAAGCCAAGCCAAGCCTATGCGTTCGCTGTGCCGCAGAGGAAAAATCTGAATATCGATATGTTCTGAACACTTCGATCGCACTTGAAAGTCAATCTTCCGCACATGGTGGATGACAAGGACCTGTCGTACAAAGATTGCATTCTTTATGCATGTGGTCAACTCTTTGGTTAGGCTTGTTCTTCTGGTACGTCCATCGAGGGATGTGTAAAAGACTCTACACACTGGATGATGATGGAAAGCCTGGCCTTTCTCTTTAACTACGTAGTGAAAAAGTGACCGTGATATATCATAATAACTATATATATATACATACTTTTGTTTACAAACTGTTACAGGTCATAGGACAGACCCCAAACATCATCAAACTGCGTATGCGTAGTAAGAAGCTACTAGGGGCTCCTGGCATCGCTACTAGGAGCAAGGACGCTACTAGTAACAAGACTCCCTCACCGTTTCGTCCCATCGCTCGCTCGTGCTCGCTCACTCGAGCCCCCGGCCGTCCGCCATCGGCAGCTCTCGGATGCGCACCTCAGACGGTGAAGGTCACCCGCAGCGGCCGGGTGAAAACGGAGATCGCAAAGCGGGAAAACGGTGCGTCCTCTTTTTGGAGACCTGCACATTGTTGCTGGGTGTGTAGAAAATCAGCTCAAAGATGGATTCCATCCACCATGAAGGCATTGTCATACGGTGTTCGTGGAGTGAGGCCGGCTGTTCATTCTTCGCGTGAACGGTGAACGGGTAGTTCACAGTGGAGAGTCCAGTAGACCTTCCTGCAGGTCAATATGGACTCTCAAAACCGCATAAAATCGCTGGGGTTGTAGTGGAAATGGTCTTGCACGGGGTGAAAGTCAGGGTCCATGTCAGTCTGCAAGGAGGGTAGATATATGGTGTGTTCATCCCCTTGGGCACCGGACATGGGTAGGGGCTCCCTCTTGGGATTCTTCCTAAGAGTCGGGTGTGGACTCTTCCTTAATCCCTACTGCCCGTAGGTCACCGACCGAAATACTGGCAGTCCAAGGTGTGACGCCCCTCCGCAACGAACCCGTGTGAACACGCGGCAGCATGGCCCACCGGGTGCCTTGAAGACGTCATGGCCCACGGGCGACAAGCACACCTGCCGTGCCAGGGTGCCAGGGGTGCAGATCGACCGGTGCGTTTCGGGCGCCGTTTGTGCCATGGGTTTCGATCGTTGGCTCGATGGATTCAGTTTCTTATGGCTGGTAGAAATGCATGAGAAAGATTGAGTTCGGTATCTGAGTGAATCGTTGAAACATAACACTTGCAGATATGAAGTTTGAGAAGTGTGAGGTTCCTTGCAGGCACTCACTGTACGGGGTCGGTGGTGAACCTGTCCACTTGATCAATGCGTGCTGGAGCTCCTGGGAGGGGATGGCCCTTGAGCAAGCTGGTTCCCAAACCGCCCAACCCATCACCAGTGCAAACTCGCCCCAACAAGAAAGAAGGCCCAATGCACTTGCCCAATGGTTAAAAACACTTGTGGATAGGTCCTCCAGTGGGAGGAACCGCTGATTGACCAATTCTGTATCACCCAATAGTTTGGTCTTTGATCCAACAACAAAGCGTCCTGTCGAACCTCTTCCTCCCAGTCCATGCTGCTCGCATGCAAGGCATGGAAGTGCCCAATGTGTTGCGGGACAACAATCAAGCGTTCGATGAAATCAATTCGGCTTGCCTAAACTTGGAGGGGAAGACTACCCAGCGCAGCTTCCAAGTTCCACATGCTCAACTGAGTAATGTACACATGACTGGTCTTTAAAGTGGTAAGCCAGCAGCGTTCAATTTTGTCTCACTAGGTTTCACGGTGAAGGTGCTTTGGCAGATGAGGAATGACGAGGAACCGACAAAACCCCCGGTTCCTTGATCCAAACAAGAGTGGTATGCTTTCATGTAAAAAACAATATCAATGTTATATGATATCACATTCACCCCTGGTGCGTGCAATGGATACGCATGTCAACTCGCAACTGTGAATTCAAACCCGTTCGCTGAAAACGACGCCATCTCTCAAGCCAAATAGCTCGTGTGTCTTCAGCGGTCGCTGCAGCGGGGTGGGAGCGGGCCAAGTGGTGGAAGTTTTCCGGCGGAGAGTTGGATTGTGAAAAGGATTCTCCAGATTTCTACGCACCACAAGGGAGAATTCCTAACCACACTGGCCAGTTTGTTCAAAGCAAACCTCACTCTTTGTCAAAAGAACACAGCCCTGTGGCGAACATGCGCAAAGGCCTTTTCTGCAACTCCTTGCGCGTTCATGGAGGCCGCGTCTTCGTTGCCGATGCGGCGTAGGTCTGGGCCCTGCGGGTGGCCAACACGTTGGAGCCACTGGAGCCACCAAGAGCAGCGCAGGCGCAGCAGCTGCAGATTTGCGCAACAACTGGGAATCAGATCCTAGACCTCAGCAGCTTAACAGCTTGTGTTTCCCCTTGACCAACAAGTATATCGACCTTGGTGAAAAGGTTTTGTGCCTTGTGAGTCATGTGGGAAATGGAGCCTAGAAAGGCCTGTAGCCACTAAAACTATGTGTATATATATATATATGTATTTTTTGTAGCACACAAAGTAGACGAGCACCTCTACATGAGCAAGTTCATGCCAGTCTTGAGACCCAAAATGATATACAGTGTGTGTGTGTGTATATATATATATATTCTAGTATGTGATATGATTATATATGTACACTCTGAAAATTGTCAAATCTGTATAGTCAGGTTGAATTTGACTTCAACTGCACAGGGCCTGTGCGAGAAAAGCTGTTCCTGGAAGTAGGATGAATCATCTGAGAAAGAATAAGTTTGCAAACAGTTTGAAGGGCTGCGTTCACACAAAAAGGGCCCCAAACAATCTAAAACCTGGATTATGCTTCTCTGTGACGCTATGAGTGAAGAAGCCAAGGGTGCTTGTGCTAAAACATCAGCTGACACAAAGTTGGTGGGAAAAAATCATTCGTCACAACAATGGCGAGTTTCCAGAGGTGACTTGCCGTGTTCAGGTGGTGTTCATCTTGTATCTGGCGTTTGAAACGCACCAGCCACGCTCCGTGGAAGCATGCAGCACAGGGGCAGAATTCCATATGTCAGCCACTGGTGCATTGAAGACCTAGTCCTAACTTCAATTTCAGCGAGAGAGAGAGAGAGAGGGAGAGAGAGAGAGAGAGATTTCCCGTGTGTGTGTGTGTGTGTGTGCATGGTATGTGTGTCTGTGTCATTGAGTTAACTGCCCGGCAAAACTGGCGTGTGGTTCTTCCTTTCTAGAGGTGTGGCACCTTTCTATGGGATCCATCACCTGCTAAAAAGAATCTTCTTTCAGAACTCATGGGGATAAAACGAAACCTTTGAGCTCTGCCTTTCACACGTTTGACGGGTACCGTGCTTTCGCGAGCTGACACGTGGACCCCTGCAGCCGACTGGAAGCGTGCGGCCGAGGGCGACCGCCTCACCCGTCCAGTAGCCTGGCGGCCTGGACCTAGAGTCGCTCCTCCGATGAGAAGCATGGAGTCATGCAGCATATCCAAACTGTTTGAGTTTTGGAACTGGTGAAAATGATGAGCAATTCGCATTCGCACGATTCATAAATCAACCAAAAATAGTGGGCTCGCAGGTTTCATCTCTAGGCATTCGATATCCCAGACTTTGGTCCAAAGCAGGTCGCCAAGACCCCCTGGTTGCGGGTGTATGCTTTTGATGCGCAGCACGCAAGCACTCATGACTCGTGGGGGTGAAAATTCGGCATTTGGAAGACCTGGCGAGACATCCGATGGCGTCCAAAGCATTTGTTTCGGGGAAAAGGCGGCCAAAATGGGAGGGTTCGAGAAGCCTCAAGTAATCCGCTTCAGTGACTTTCAATCCCCTAGCGGCCCTAGCAGTGACCATTGGAGTCGGCCGCTTCCCCATCTCTTGCGCTTCGCGCTTCCCCCCCTCGACTTTCCTCAAAAGCGCAACCCAGTGGACCCTCACAGAACAAAGTGGACCACAACCAGCGCACACAGTCATCCACTGCTCAGACTGTGGTTTTGGACCCACGAAACAGAACTCAACCTTGCAGCCTCCAGGTCTTTATGCATCAAAACTGCTTGCTTTCCACATGAACAGAGAGATTTAGCAAGCCGTCTTTCACATTGTGGGACAAGGCTGTGGTAGATAAATAGCACAAGCCGATTCTGGTCATCTTGGAGGTCTATGCAGAAAACTGGGCGACATGGCCAAAACCACATAGACATGTTCGGGAAGTCCAAACCCGGCCTAGGCCAGGTATCGGTATATCGAAGCCTCGACAAGTGCACAGCTGGTGGGGTGACGCTCTATGGATCAAAACAAGAGGTGGCTCAAACAGGAATTTGTTGTACCAGTTCCAAAAGGGTCTATAGTCTATAGAGTTTGTTTTTGGAACTTTTTGGCATGTGAATGTTTTGGAATTCTGTGGAATGTGTTGGTTGTCGGAATGTGTTGAAATTTCATGCAACTGTTCAGCATGAACTACGTCAAGCCATCAGCGGTATCCCAATGAACACACACCTCTATCCTCACGAGTCGTGAGCAAGACACAAGTACCGCCTTGGCATATGGAAGGCACATGAAAACACCTCAAGATCATCCAACCGTTTTGGCGAGCCTTCACAAGGCTGAGACTGAGGAAATTGTGCTGTTCATACTGCATACTTGTGACTAACGGCCGAGGCATCAAAATCACATCTGCCTCAAGCAACCATGTGTCTTCAAGAATCCTTTCCGATTTATGGCACGTCAGGTACTACATCAGCGACTACATCTGCTTAACTGTTTGTGGAACATACTCGTACAGTCATGCTGGGGAGATGAAGTACAACAGGTTTCGAAGCATGGGTATAACTGGATTGCACACCGACAGCCTTTCTGATAGAGAAGCTTCCAGTTCTACTCAGCTTCCTGGCCTGGTTTTTGTCACGTTCCAGGTACTCGCGCTCGATGAGGTGTTCAATTCCTGCGAGCAGAACGAAAGCATCGCATGACCACGAGGAAGGTCCAACCAATCCACCATTGGCCAAGCATGGCGGCCCACCATGGCCAGCTCTGTCTGAACCAAATGCTCAACACTTGTGTGCAACCAGGGATCACAAGCAAGTCTGGACTTACTTACAGTGGCTGGTCCCATTTGCTATGTATATATATATATAATTACACTGAGCTCCTTCCTGAACCTTTATATAGGGCCCTATCTGCGCATGTTCGTGCAAATGAGATCATGCGTTGTCTCGATGGAGTCGACGAGTCTTTATGATCTACGCAGGGAGTGTCACCTACGGGAGACCCTTTTTGCAGGTGAAACGCTTAACCACTGGATGAACTTCGATGAATGAACTGCCAGCTCTAAAAACCTTTCTGCACAATATTCAGGGACACTTGTTGACTGAGGACCAGCCGAAAACATAGCCAGCCAATGGTGTGAGATCCACACCTAGTCCAAACTTCTAACATGTCCAACATCGTCCAACCTTACATCCCCCTGGGATGCCCGTGCGTTGCTTCACCAATTTAGGATTTGGCTTGAAGAAAGCCAACTGCGTCAGGACCTGGCACCACCCGGTCCGCAGGTCGGTCAGATGGGTTCGCCAACCCGCCGAGGCCCATGAACTGCAGAAAACCGCAACGATGTGAAGGCCGTCATCTTTGGACAGGGGCCTGCATTCACCTTCCACTCGCCACACGTAGAAACATATAGTGACTCAAGGACGTGGCACCATTCTCGGCAGCTCCAGTCTCTGGATTCCGGAAACTCAGGTGCAAAGATGTTTGAAGATCCTACATGTAGACTGTTGATTCATTAACCCCCTACCAGAATGGTTGACCATCTCCACATGGGGGGCTTAGCAATCAGCAGTCTGCATTACACGTTTGTCAAACCGGACGCAACATGTGACTTGTTCTTTCACCAAGCAAAACGAGAATCATCCACAGCCCTTTGCTTGGTTTCCGCTCAGGATCCAAAAAGCTCAGCTGTACCAGCTGCAACAACAAAAGAACAATGAGCAGGCTGATGAAATCGGTATTTCAAAACCTTCAAAAAGGGATGGCATAACACAAACCATTATATAATCAGAAGACGGGCCACCAACCTCCCCAGTGCCCCTAATTTCTGATGCCAAGAAGAGATCAATGGATTGAGGAGACCAAAAAGCCTCAGGTCCACCATTTATCCAGCCTCTGTGACCAGCTGCTGGTGGTTCAGCCTTAGAGGTGTCTGCCACGGACGTGGGTCTGCCACCTCTTCTTTGCTTCAGATGGGTCTGCCACGATGGTGTGCCACACGCAGTGGTGCTGATTTCATACCAGCAGAAAGGGTGCTGGTGTAGGGTCTTGTCGAAGGACCAAAATTCCAGCTTGAATAAGGCGAAGTCGAACGTCTCATGTTGTTGGATACTTACGAGACCTGCAAAAACCCAGTTGTGGAAACCAGGGCACCAAAAAAACTCGAAAAAAAACATAGAAAAACCATACCGTCATACAGCTAACAAATCGAGCTTGTCAGAACTGACAAATGGAATTGATTTGCTTCAACCCAGCGTGTTTCCTTTGGGTGGAAAGAATTCCAACATGATCTAACCTGCAATGCCCAGACAGCAGATCGAGCGGCGTTTTTCTCATCTTCATGATCCTCACAATAGCTGCCTCGATGGCAATCGAGCGATCCTCCTCAACACGTTCCTGGCGCCATGAGCGTCGAAAAATCGCTTCTCAACTCGACCATTCAAAGCCATGACAGGAGTCTTCTTCCTTTTTTCACCACGGGGCGGGTCCACATCAAAGCCCTAAGCTGGATACACAAAAACACACACATTTCTGAGCCTTATATACAGCCTTTCTTGATCTTTCTTGCAGACTTTCGCTTCAGACCAGGCAGTGCGAGAGCATCCCGACTGAGTCACAGCCACAAAAGTGAAAAACAAAGTCTGCATGACCCCAAATGACCAATTTTCCCCACGTGCCTTATTGTGTGTCTCCTCCGTGACTGGAGGAGGGATCTTAATTTTCCGGTGCTGGCACCTCGGGCATTGACGTTTTTTCGGACATCCCCGTAGCACGGAGAAGTTTCTTCTCCCGTGACGCGGTGGCCACAGGGGAGATCTGGAAAATCGATTGAAAAACACATGGAAAAACAACCCGGAAGAACTTTAGAGGGGGAATGATGGGGATAAGTGGGATAACTAGGTCGATTCAGAGCATCAAGAATTTGGGATCATTTGGGATCAATGTAGGGGAGAGCTTTCTGACGACCGTAGAGCGCACTTGATGAGAGGACAGCACTTTACACACCCAATGAATCCCACAAGTTGAGTCTCCACTTCCGGCAGACTCCGCGCTTCCGCGTCATGCGCCACTCATTGACCACTCTGACTCTAGGCATCCATGCACAAAGCCATCGTTTGGACTGAAGGTTGCATCATCCTGTTCGGTGTGAAGAGCGTCTTGCGAAGCGAAAAAAGGAAAAAAGGCTCGGAGTGACATTGGAGAAACAATTCCAACTTGGTGCCTCCGAGAAGTCTGGTGATCTCCGAGTGCCGGGGATTCTAAGAATCCTTCACACTCCCCGCATGTTCACCATGGCCGTTCACTAAGCTGCAAAACCGACACGAAGTGGCAACAAGAAGCACCGCCCGCCATCGCCGACGTCACGGTCCTCGATGGTCTTGGCATCCCCGGTCTTGCTGAGGATCTTAAACCTGATCACTTTGTGTCAAAGCAAATACGGTGGATGTAGGGCAAACTTCCCATCCAACACTTAAAGTGGATAGTTTCTAACACTGAAAGCTTGCAATGATCTTCCAAGCAGGGCAATTTGGACGCCACTATATATCGCCACTACCATTGTAGATTGGGGACTCCGAAGTTTTAAAGACTTCTCAAAGACCAGCTATCTTAACGGCTGTTCCCCACCAAAGCATGAGGGTATTTTAGTGGGTTCCACGTTGCAATTGATTCATTGAGTTTCCTCGTCCCAAATCAACCGCAGAGTCCATGAGTCACTGGCCGAGGGAGACACAATGCTCTTTTGAACATGGCTTGGCTTGGCTTGGCGTGTACAGCAAAAGTTGTTGTTATATCGCATGGTGTCCTTTCCCGCAACCCTCATGCGGACCGCTGGTGGAAATCAATATCTAAAATAATCATAAATCATCTATATAAGTGCATCTGCCATTTGATACCGTTTGCAAACTACCAAAAATGTTTTAAAACGTTTTAAAAATATATATATATTTATTTATTTATTTATATTTAAAAGAAAAAAAACGGCTGTTCCCAGTCCAACCCATGGTGTTTTGGGACTTCAAGAGATTGGTTGGGGATGAATTGGCCATCTCCGTGTTCAACCACAGCCTGCCATTTCGACCAATTCCTGCTCACCGGAGTCTCGCTCCCTGTTGAGAGCGGGGCTTCGCGATCGACAGAGTTGCCAAAAGCCTCGGTTGAGCATCAATCGACATGGCCAGAGTACCACATAAACCCACAAGACCCCCATGTCGCGGCTCTGTAGGAATCTTCTCCCAGAAAAAGCCCTTTGATGTCCGCCTTTAGGCAAGAATCAGTCTGATCCTTTGTTTCCAGTTTCCATGGATTTGGATCACTAGGTGCACATGACTCGGTCGAAGTGTTTCGCTACATTAGAGCGCCTTGGGCTCGCAGGTGTTCTCGCCAGGGTGGGTGTTAGCCATGTGTGGTCCAAGAACTACCCCCAGGAATGGTGGGGAAGCTTCACCCGTAACAGTTGTCACGAGTATTTTGGCGGAACGTGCTCGATGCATCTGCAGGTTTGAACATGTTTGAAAACCAAAAGGAACAAACAGGTCGAAGAGGTTCCAAGACCAGAAGCTGGTCAAACATGGGTACCCGAAAAGCGGTGCGATTGACGCACATTAGGAGATCTGGGCGCCCAGGCTTCTTGCACATGCTCGGCTCCAAGCCCGTCGAATTCTGGCGGCTTCGGCATGGGCAAGGGGTGAAACAAGTGTCTCCTGTGGTAGTTACACAGTCCGTTTTCCAATCAACTAACCTAGCTAGCGCGCAGGGAGAGGGATAAGTTCCCGCTTCTCAAAGACTACTGAGGTGAGCCACGAGGTTGTGCCTTCTGTCCATGAACCATCCAGCTACTTTCCCATATCTTTCCATTACCGTCCCTCAGTCCCCAAAAAAGCAGTGGGAAATTCGGGGGACTCCGTGCCAGAAGTTGCCAAACGACTACCGTAGAAAAGCTGGAAGGCAGCAAGGCAACAAAAGTGATGTATCACTGTATCACTCACACTTTGCTTTCGACAACCAAAATGTGTTGATCCTGCAGAAAGAAGTTAAGAAGTGTGACATCTTGATGACATGAGCCTTGCTACAAGTGCAGAAGAGGACATGAACTCACATTGATCCCCATCTCCGGAATTGACTATATATACACATCCCTACAACAAACAGCCTGGACAGAAAAGTGAAGAAGACTGTAAAGAGCTAACAAACAAGGAATATGAATTGCAAAAAGAACTGCTGCCCGCATAGGGCAGCATCTAGAAGAAGCAAACAAATGGAGCTGGGTCAAACGCCCCCAGATTCTGGGGCCCAGAATTGATTTCTTGAGTTGTCTCGCCTGGATGAAGGTCAGGTCATGAGCCTCATCCCGAGTGAAGAGCAGGAGGATCAAGGCCTCCAATGGCTCAGATCGGTGCGCTTTCTGAGCTGCCGGATAGTCCCGGCTTGGTCATTCCAAATTTAGGTGGAGTCATAGGTGTGGACTGTAGAACGGAGTAGTTTCTTCTGGTCCTACGGTGCAAGATCGTGCAAGAACAGCCTCTACCAATCTTGCAGACCTGAGGGTTTTTCAGTAATTACAGCCCACTGAGAACGAGGGTCCAACCGATGATGCCAAACACAAATGCAAGTTGATCTGACAGTGAACGCTACTGCATGTGTTTTTAATGTGGGGATCCCCCTTAATGTGGGGATCCCCTGGCTTATATAATGGTTTTTGGTCCATGAACCTTCAAACTTCCGGCCAAACCAAAACCAGAGGGAGCCTTCAAACAGGTCTCGTTGCCCAGGGACCATGGAAGGAAGATCCCTTCTGAGACAGCCCGGACCTTAGGTCCGCCCTGAAGGAACCCCGAATCCCCAAACCGGGAATCGATCCAACGTGCCGTGCCTGGTATGAGTTCACGATGAGGTCGTGCCTGCTTCACTGCTTCACTGGGGCTTTTCCACCAAGTGTTGCAGGAAAAAGTTGCTTTTTTGAGTGCCAATAGCAAAGGACAAAACGCGCGTCTCAATGTTCTAACCTCCTCAGGTGGGCAAACCTTCCTTGACAAAAACCTGTGCAAACCCTCCGCAACTTACAGTCACTAGGCCATTGGGTGAAACAAATTCATTGAGCTGCTAGGTGACAATGCCAAACCAACACGTGGAGGACATTGAGCCAAACAAAGTAAAAGTGAAAATCATGGACTGCTTACTGCAAGATACTGCAAGCAGAAACTCCTACTGCAGGTGTCAGTACATTGTTCTCACCGAGGCTTAGATCTAATGGAGAATCTCATCTCAGACACCTCCACCAAAGACATAGCATACTCACCATGCTTGGTTTGATTTGATCCACGGAGTACATGGCTGGTTCTCCAAAACGGATCACTCTAGTTATCCTCTCGTGGGTTTACAGAATCTCTGACAATATAAAACTCTGTGGGAAGAGGTGGTTCCGGAGTCATCGTGGACTCCAAAAAACTGGAAAATGGTCGGGATAAATGCAGACTTGTCTCAGGACTTCCTACTGGTCTGCCGCAGCCAGTGCAGCATCTGTGAAGGACTAAAACACTCCCGCAAACCAGAAGAGCTTTATTTAGTCTGAAATCCCCTCAAACCCCAGTTGAAACATGTTTGTTCAACACATCAGCAAGGCAGAAGCCAAGATGGGGAAGAAGCGGTACCCTGGTTTTGTGCTTTCTTTGACAAGGGGCCTTTGGATGGCACCCTATTTCGGAGCCACCTAGCTACATGACTCAAAAGGTCCAATGGACCGATCCCGTCTCGTCTCGTTTTGGACTGATCCCGGGTTCCGTCTGATGGACAGTGGATGAATGGAAGTCCCACTCCCTCAGTTTCCCAACATAAAGGCTAACCTTTATCCTTTTCGGTTGGATATTTTAGTGGGGAAACCAATCCATTGACTGGGTAAGTCCCTAGAGGTTTCGTGTGTCCCAGTCTTTCCTCCCCGCCTTCGACCATTGAGCTTGGCCGCGATGGTCGCCTGATCAAGAACTCGGGTGATGTAAAATCATGATTTTAGGCTGATGAATCTCCTAGAAGTGGCAAAATACCTAGTCTGTGCAGTTGATGGTAGAATCTTATTTACATTTACTTACCCACCTAGAACATTCAGCATACCCATGCCGTGATTTGACGTGATTGCCGTGATTGGGCATCTGAACCATTGGGAAACGTTAGACTTGCCATGCCTGGCCCAGGTGATGGATCCATTGAAGCCGCCGATGCTGCGTCTTCCCCTGAAAGAACAACGGCAGCGGCTCGACAGAAACGCCGCGATGCTGGGTGACGCTGGGGGTGTTCATGACCATTGCAGTCTAGATGTCTGGGATCTGAACCCTAAGCATGGCTTAAAGTAATTGGACATTGTGAACCACTAACATGTCTGGGATTTGAACATTTGGACTTTCAGTGGTTCAAATTGTTTTAGATGAACAAAGTCGAAGCATGGCCAAGCATGGTCGAAGCATATGCTTAAGCTACCGAGATTGTCATGACCGATTCTTGGTCCCAAAGGCATTGGCGTCCGCCGCTAGCATCCCTACTTTAGCCATGTGCGTTTACAGAGGTGAGTGAGTCTTTTTGACTGTTTGTGAGTGTCAGGGTACCGACGACTTTCCCATCACTTCAGCGGGATCTTCTTAGCTTCCTTACCTGGTATGACATCCATGTGGGTCAGCCAAAGATCGAGTTAGGAAGCCAATTTGAAGTGACAGGTGTCGGACGGTCAATGATCAACCTCCTTAATCTCCAGGAGGAAATTCGACTAAGCGGACACAGAGTTGCCTTGGAGGATTCTAGCGGGAGTGGTGTTGTAGTTTGGAGACTTCGACTAAACAGGCCGACACTGGTCTTGAGTACGTCTTGAGATGTCTGGAGTATGTTGTGCATGTACGCACAGAAAGTGTGTAAGACAGGCTGTCAACTATCACCAGGGCTCCCAGGCGTTGTAGTAGTTGCTGAAGACCTGGATGGCCTGCAACTACTGCAGAAACCCGTCAAGCGGGCCCATGGGAGTGAGACCGAGCGGCCACCAATGAAGGTGGGCGGCATGATGGAGACACCTGTTCATTCTGCCCTAGCACTTAGTTCTTCGAATATGCCCAATGAAAAGACATGAAGACTCTTTCTAGACGGTCATCCGGGTGACAGTCGAGGTCACATTTACCAGGGCACCATCGTCCCGCACGGGGCAGCTAGGGATTTCCCACGATCAAAAAGCCGAGACCCTGTGGTCGTGGCCATTATATAGCCATGTGCCACCAGTTCCATCCAAAAGGAGCGGAACAGGAAGAACAACAAAGAGATGGAAATCCGGCTGGTTGAGGCACAGAGTCACCATGGTGACCTATCATCCTGCGACTTACGACCTACGGATTAGTGGATGATATTGCTTTCGGTTCAATCCATCAACAGATGATGTCATCACCTCCGCAGTAATGAAGCTTCTGCTTCTGACAGACCCAGATTTTGATGGTTCTTTACTCGGATCATCAAATGACAGAAAATGGGAGGGATGGACAAGTCCATGGTTTTATTGGTTGCTTGGATGTGTCTAGAAATCAACGAAACATCTTCAACATGATTGAACATCCATCTCACCTGCTCAGCCAAGTGGCTTTGACCCCCAAAAACCGAACTCACTCCGAGTCCCCCCACCCGGTTGCAGGTTGTTGTCTCGCGATGTCCGGGGTCGTGCCTTCTGCATCTCCGGGCAGAGGCTGGCTTCTTGCACCTCAAAGAGCCCATCTTGGAAACTAAGAACCAAACCCTCGTGGAGGGTCCAACGGAGCTAGGCCTGGCCCTGTCCACTTCAACTGCCAGGCTGTTCGATCTGTTGGATGGAACGACGTCCCAAGCCTGGTAGGATGGCCAGAAGCCTGTGGTGAGCACCGTCACGTTGAAGTCGATGTTCCCCAAGGCACCCTGTGCAGTGGCACAGGACGTCACCGATGTGGACATCTTAGCACGATCAACCAGGTGTTGCTCGGATCCATGACCAATCACACTTGAATTTGAGGGTAGTTTAACTTTGTTCATGTGAAGATGATCCTTGGGGGTGATAATTTTCCTCTCTCATCCTTGGGGTGCTAGTCACTGAAAAATTGCCAGAATCTCTGTGCGGCCAGTTCCCTCTCACTGCTCCCCATTGCAAGCCAGATTACAGAATCCAACCATGACATGTTGCTTCAAACTTTCAAAAAGGCCCGACTCGCGGCCCTCTCCCGGCAGCCTTGCCCTCCGGAAGCTGTTCACAATGATCCCTCAGTGTTCCATACACGGCCAAGGGCACGGATTTCACTCTAGTGTGATTGCTTTTGGGAACATGAATGTCGAGTCCAAGCTGTTGCTTTTGTCAAGAAAGTTTGAAGAGAATGTTCTGAGTCCATATTTAAAAATGATAATGATGCAAAAAGACTCAAAAATATTACGTGCCGCAAAATGTCGTGGGTGTGTGCATGTACAATATATCATATATACATTGTACATATATATATATATATCATATATAGTATATATATATACAGTATATAGGCGTACATAGGGAAACTACGGGCTGCAGAAGCGTCCGGCTGATGTCAGCACAACCAGGCTTCGTCAACTTCATCCAAGTTCAACGGCTGAGACGGCGGCTTGAAGTCCTTCTGGGTGTCGAGAGCTAACGACAAGTCGGTCAACATCCCTGGGCGCACGCGACGTCGTGACGAAGAGTCTAGTAGCTTCTTGTTACTAGTAGTAAGGCACCTGTTACTACTAGCGTGGCACTTGTTCCTAGTAGCT